GGGGTCGCACTCACCGCGCCGGTCGGCGGGTCTCCCGACGGCGCTCCGCTGAAGGCCTTACCGCCGCCCGCGGCGTTTCCTGCTCCCGGCCACCGGCTCCGCTTACAACCCCTAGACCGCCCTCCTGGCGGCGGCGCCCCGCGGCGCTCTCGACCCCCTTTCCTTCCTTCCTTCCTTCCTCCTCCTCCTTCCCGCGCCCCACGCGCACCGGGTCGGCTCCGGCCCCCTCCGCGCTGGCTCGCGCGCCCTCTCCCTATTCGCCCGACTCTGTCTCTCCTCAGCCGCCGTAACCGGGGCCTTCCGCTCCCCACCCCGCACCCATTTAATGGCCCGTGCGCAGGCGCGGCGGCGGCGGGAGCGCGCGCCGGGGCTCTCCCGCCCGATGCCTGACTGGGAAAGGCGGGCTGGGTGGTGGGTCGGGGCCGCGCTCGTCCCCGCCGCGGGGTTAGTCCGTCTTCACTCCCCCCCCTTCCTTTCCCCCGCTTCGCTCCGAACCGTCTTCACACCTTGCGAGCGCTGCGGTGGGTGAGGAAAGTTGCCCGCGGAGCCTCCGAGGGCCCGCAGGCGCTCTCGCTGGGCAACCCGGCGGGGGGAGGAGGCAGCCGGGACGTGGTGGGCGCCATGTGCCGCGGGAGCGGGGCAGCCGGGGAGGCAGCGGGGACGGGACCGACCCCACGGAGTGTGTGTGGGGGTGGACGGGGGGACACACAGAGGGGACGCGGTCGCGGGGTGGGAGAAGGGCGGGAAGCGGCGGCGCGAGCGCGGCCCCCTCAGCGGTGGCTGAGGCGCGGCCGGCGGCTTCGTTAGCGCGTTCGCCGGGCTCTCCCCCTCCTCGTACCGCACGTTTGCGCGGAGTAACCGAGGGGCTCGGGGAAGGGTCCCCGTCAGCAGCCTTCGCCCCTGGCAGCGGTGCTGAGGTACCGACGGGAGCGTAGGTGTGAAATTCCCGTGCCCCACGCAGACCGCCCTGTCAGGTCGCGGGTATTATCAAACGCCCTTTGTCCGTCTTCTGTCAGAAGGGAAATTTGGGCTTCCCGCGGGACAGCAGGGGGTCAGCCGGTGGAGTAGCTTACTCGGACCTGGCGAATCTTTCGGTTGTCGCTGACAAGGAGCAGAAATCGCGTTCAACATCAGCTTAAGGCGGTTACTTGGTGAGTGAGGCGGCTTGCGCTGTTGAGGAGCCATGTCCCCAGCACCTGCATCCCTGCTGCCACCCAGAAACGCGGCGGGGACCCCAATTTTCCAGACACGCGTGTAGGACCAAGGAAGTACTTGCAGGTTCTGGTGAATAAAAAAAAATGTTTTCTTCCCTGATCTCTAATGAATACCAGTATTAGAAACTGGTTACCTGTGCAATGAAACAAATAAACACATCTCTTTTTTTCTTAAATGACAAAGCGCTGTATTATAAACAAGATAGCTTTGTAACTATTACAAAGTTTCTGGTAGCGAGTTTGCTTTTCAGGGAAACATGCAGAGAGGTGCTGCAGGCACTGGCTTTGAGCATGTCAGAGCGGCGGTGCGCTTTTCACTGTAGCTTTCGTACACACGACCGTTGCGACCTGACGTTCCGTTAGTTCCTAAAGGCACATCTTCCATCACTCGCCCGTTACCGGATACTTGCACCAGAAAAGCCCAGTGACCCAGAAATGCCAAAAATGCTTCTTTCCCTCCACCTACCCCGCTGCAGCGTGGGCAGCAGTTCAGTGCCATGGCACCCTGAGCGCCTTTGTTTTTTTCCCCCGCTGCTCGGGTCTGCCGTTTATGCCCTAAACCGATCGGTATTTGTCCGGGGGGCGGCTGCACCCCCCCGGGCAGCCCCAGGGCTCCATCGGCCGGCCCGGCCCGCATTCCTCCCCGCCGCTGCGGGGCGCTGCGCCGCCGCCAAAGGGGTGTGTGGGGGCGGGCGGGCGGCGCTCTGGCCCCCTCTTTGTGGTGGCGGGCGGGGCTCTCCCCGCTGTGAGGGCGGGCGGGAAGCGCGGGAGGAACGCGCCCGGTGCTGAGGCGGGGAGGGCCTGTGCTCCCCCCTCACCCCCGCCTCGGGGCTCCGGCCGCCTCCCGGTGGGGCTGGTGCCGCCTCTCGCCCCCTCCCACCACCCTGCCGCCCCTCGGAGGCGGCTTGCGAAGGCAGACGCGGCCGTGCAGGCGTGTGCGGGGCCGTCTCGGTTAGGGAAGGCAGAGCCCCCCGGGCCTGCCGAGGAGCGGGCTGACGGTGACCCGTGAGGCGCTGCCTCCGCCTAGCCGTTAACGCAAGCCGGCCGGTCCCCCGGGGCTTGGCCGCGGCGGTGGGGCGGCTGGATCCTGTTGTTGGGTGGCCCGGGAGGCAGGTACGGCGGCCACGGCCTCCAGCGCCTCAAGGCAGGGCTTTAGAGCAGCATCCTGTGGTTCTTCAGTGTTTGTCCATAAGCACAAACAGCCTTCAGACTATAACTCTCCGCTGCCGAGAGGAGTTTCGTGCAGGCAAACTCTTGCCTGACTGCAGTAAGTTTTGTGGTTTGTTTTTTTTTTTTTCTGTTGCCCCTTAAACCTTGCTTATAGAAATGCCCACCTTGGATCTCACACTGACGAGGAGGTTGCTGATCATAAGTCCCCGGGTGTTTTCACAAGAGTCTTGCTCTCCCTGAGACCTTTGGCAGGTAGAAGGTTCTGTGTGTACAGGAGTTCTCGCTGGAGCTGGGTGGAATTCATTTTTTCATTTTTATGTGCTTGTGAAGTGAGAGAAGCTCAGTAGTTTAAAAGAAAAAAGGAGTCGGTTTGATTAGGTACTGATTTTGTCACTCTTGATTATTAATTTGTTTCTAAGTAGGGGAACATAACTTAGGGTCATGTCCTTTATATAGCATCCTTCTAGCACAGCTTTATTTAGGTAGGCACAGCTGCTGTCTTACGATTCAAGTGGTTATGACTCTATTACCGACAGATCACGTCAGCACAGTATCGTTCAGGTCAGCAAGGCTGTGAGTGTGCAGACATGTTTTTTCTGTTAAACATCTAGAATTGCATTATGCTATTTGTATGCAGGTCGAGTGAGTGGAGTTCCTGTCATTGTTAAGATAAAGACTGCGTTTAGCATAGACCCGTTTGATGGATTCATCACAAATAACGGGAACCAATTTATGCTTTGTCCAAAGCTAATAATACAACGTTGCAGTGCAGAGAGTGCATTTGCTTACTGCAGGCTTGGAGCTACAGTAAAATGGAGAAATCCAGAAGCAGGTAAGCAATAAGAAGATGCTACCTTGTTAAAGACCTCAGCTGTAATTTTTTAATTTTTTTATTATGACGTGTTAGGCATTCCATGGGACAGAAGAAAGTTGTTATTCTCATATGAGGGCTTATTCGTCTCTATGGAATATTGTTAACCAGAAAGCGTTCCTCTTAAGAACAAAACAAAAACCAACAAACAAACACACCACCACCACCACCCCCCAAACCCATCACGAAACACAGCTTTATGTGGGTTTGCATTATCATGACATTCAAATATAAAAATGATGTTCTTGAGCTTGAGGTCTTAGACTGGAACGTAAGATATTTGGATGTCGTTGTTGGCCCAACCACACATTTATTTTGTGGTGTTAGTCAGTTCTCTTATTCTTCCTGTGCTTTTATTTTCTAACTTTACAAGGGACAAATGATCCTTCTTCAACTCTTATTTTTCGTGGTTACTTGCCATAAATTGTCATGGACGTGGGCTGTCGTCACTACATATGTGTAGCACATACAGTGTTTCAAATCTGGGAAAATCTGTTAAAAATGACATCTATTGGAAAATCATTAAGTATTCACATGCCTCAGACTTTAATACAAAACTTTTACATGCTCTACCCGAGCCTGATTTTTTGACTACTTTGCGTTACATTGTCATTGCATGTGGTCAGACCAGTTTACCTTTGGAGCAATTTAGAAGGTTTTAAAGGGAATTGGGCCTAATAGACGTGTACAAGAACTTTTGCTGAAAACTATTTTGCATAATTTTAAAAGTGCCTGAAATTCTTTTCTTCAAAAGTGCCTACCTAACTGTACATCTTGACGTGAACAGAATTTATTCATCTGCCAGACAGGGCCCACCTCTTTCAGAAAACATTCAAATAATATTTTACAGGAGAACAAGAATTTCTCTTTCTCACACAAAATATAGGTCTTGTTTTCTTTCATTAGCTTTGTTTTAGCTCCTTGCAGCTTGCTGGCATAAGCCAAAAATACTGTATTTCCTCCTATGAGATTTTTGGGCGTGGGTTCTGGTTTTGTTGTTGGTTCCCCCCCCCCCCCCCCCAATGATTTGTTGTTAATACTGTGAGCAGTTGTTCAGCTGAACTCCTGAAATCTATTAATATGGATTGTTCCAAAAACTTCATAGAACCTTTTTTTTTTCCTGGCTGCAGCCATGTTTTTCCTGGTTCAGTTCAGGTGATTATTAGGGTGAGACTTCAGACTATCCTCTTCTGTTGCCTGTTTGGGAGTTCAAGAATGTGTTTGTGGTTCTAATGTGCAAATTTTCAGGGTGGTGGCAGTATTTGTTTTGGGAAAGAGGCTTCAATACAACTGGTTCAGCAAGTTTTATCTGGTTAGATTTTTTTTTTAATCATTCGTGTTTTCAGAAAATTACTGAGACAAAATACTTGGGATTCATAAAAACATACTTGTTTTTCAGATTAGAACTACACGTGAAAATAAACTGTATGATGGAAAAATACACCTAATTTTGCTTTTTAATGATGAATGTGTAAAGATAGGAAAGGATTTTTAGTTGTTTTTTTTTTTTAAAGAAGAAACACGGTTAAAATATGAGAAAAACTAGGAAAAAGTTTCCTGTAAAATAACTGTATGTGTAAGTGCATTTCATGTTAAAATGGGAAATTTTCGCTTCAGTTTGCTAGTCCTCAAGAGAATTTTTCAGCAATAGACAGAATACTTTGATATGCTTGAGAATAAAAGGCAGAAAAACACATTCAAATCTCTGCAAAGGCATACTGTATGCACACACATGGGAGGGCTAGCACAAATGCATTTTAGTGCTTTTTCATTTCAACTTTAGAGGAGAAAGGAGTTGTCTGTGACGTGATTGCAGTGAAATGTATCTTCCCGCTTGTCTTGCGGAAACAACTTTAAAATTCCAGATAGTGAAAAATGCCTGATAAAGAGACAATAAACGTGTTTTAACATTTTGTAGTGGTCAACTTCTATGTGTGATGGTATACCTTTGTTATAGATTAATTTATCGAAATAATGCCACTTATTTGCAGTGAATGTAGTTTTACAGAAAATATTTCTTCTTTCCTTTTAAGTTCAAAATCTCTGAAGATGCATGAAATCCAACAACTACCTAGGCATCAGATGCATGCAACTGGGCAATCTGTTGCTCCCCAATCTGCCAGACATCGAGTTCAGGACAGAGGTCATGACGATCTGGGTCAAATTGGTTATACCTGGCATCACAGAAGAAGGTTAAAAGAATTCCAAATCAGGTGATGAGTACAAAACATAATTTTCACAGAATGGAGCAGGGGGATCAGACCTAAAGAAGTCTGGTTTTAGTAGTACAAGTGCAGGCTAAGGCAAAGGTTTTTGTTCACAGGTGTGCCAGACAGTTCTGAAGGTGTCTTGTGGTAATTTGAGGACATGCATTGGCACAGTCAGATTTCACATATATTTGATTTTCTAATGTAAAATTTAAAAATAGCTATTTAACAGCATGCTTTGATGGGAACTGCCAGTGTAAGGATTTAGTCTTGCCCTCCTTTTGTGTTTCTTTTGTTTGTTGAAGGAATCTTGACAAAGGTGAGATGGTAATTGTTTAGAGATTAAAAGCCTAATATTTGTTGAACAAGTGGAGCTGATCTAGCAACTCAGACTTGCTGGAAGAGGGAGGCCCCGTTCATGGCTGTGTGATTTAATTAATTACCTTGTGATGTCTTTGGTGCTTATTGGGGCCCTCTGTGTGCCAATTAACTCTAAAATCCGTTTGAAAGAAAAAGGCGGGGGGTGGGGGGAGGGTGATAATATCACAGTTACGGATTACTGAGTTGAACTGCTACTAGAAGCTTGCCGAGAAGTGAACTGCAGTGGGGGAGGTAGGAAGAAGGAAGATCTGCTGGTTTCAGGCAGGAATAAACATTAGATTGGCTCAAGTATTCTGGAAACAAGTCTGACTCAGCTGGTTGACTTCAGGAAGACAGCTATGTCACCTCTTCTAAATCACAAAAAGGCTCCCCAGTTAATTGGCAGCCTGGTCATTAGTATTGCTGGGTGTAAGTGGGCTGCTGGGAAGACATTTAAGCTCTCTAGGTTTCCTAGAGAAGTATGTCCTAATTCAGGTCTTGCAGTGATGCTTGGGCCTCTGTTAATGCTTGGTGAATAGTCCTGTTATAGGTACTAATTTTAGGGTGTAAATATTTCATATGTGCATTGATCTCTGAAAACCAGCCCCTTAGTTTTATTAGTGAAACTAGCGTAAAAGTTCCTATTTTTACTGCTGCCTGGGAATTAACAGAGGGAGAGTACAAAGGCAACTAACCTTTCCTTATATTTCAGATACTTAGCAAGGAAGTTCTTCCATCTGTGGGCAAAAAAGACATTTGGACAAGTTTTCCCTTCCAAAGCCAGGTAGATAAAATTACAGAAATCAAGGGTGGGGGTTTTTTTTGTGTTGGTTTGGGTTTGTTGTTGTTTTTGGTTTTTTGGTTTGGTTTTTTTTTTGTGGTTTAGTGCTATACCATTGGGCTAAGAGAGCGCTGGCTGCCAAGAAAATATTTGGATGTCTTTTGGGTCACTTGAAGGTTTCCTTTGAATATGCTTCTTGCTCCTGCTTTTTGTTTGTTTTTAATAATCATGGTTAAACTTTACTAACTAAATTTGTAGGAATTGTGGTTGTCTTGATGAAGTTGAACTGTACGTGTATATAAATGATGGGGTATGATTGTGACACCTGCTTTTTAACAGTTTTTCAAAGTTATAACTAGAGATGGATTGTGAAATTCAGTTCATTTTATTGTTTGCACTATTGTTCTTAATGTATATCTATATATGCTTTGTATCTGTCTGACTTTGAAATACCTGCGGCAGATAATTCGTTTCTGTTGTTAGTGTTCTGTCAGCTGCTGAAAACTAACACTTTGATACTCTTTTCTTGTTTTGCTTTAATTTGCATGTTCATTCTTGTTTGACCACACCCTTGGGAACTGAAGCAGTTCCCAGTGGAAAGACCTGCATTTGTTACAGTCAGAATAAGTTACCCAATTTCATTGTACTGTATCAAATATACTCTGACTACATCTGCCTTAGTTGGGAACCAGAAGTTGTCCTGTGAATCATGCTGTTCTTGCTGTCCCGTATACTGAATTTGCACTACTTTGTCTGTGTGTAAACTCAGGACAATTATTTATTTTTTTTTTTTTTTAGGAGGATGAGTGGAAATACGTTTTATAAAGTTCAGCAAAGAACATAAGCAGTAATTAATTGTTTTTTAGATTTAATAGTCTCCAGTTCTCCTTAGCTTTTATTTGCAATGTTCTGTTAATGCACCAAGTAAAATAAAAATAAAGTATAGCTCATTTCTTTTTTCTTTTTTTTTTCTTTTCTGCTTGAGTGCTTGGAATGACTTAGCAACTTGGCTTGGGGTAGGTAGCTATGAATTGCAACTTGTGAGAGGATTCATATGTGTTTCACCGAGGGACCTCTAGGTATTCTGGGCCTAATCCTGTTATTACAGACATGAGCAATTTCATTAAGCTAGTGGGATAGTTGTGATCAAAGGTTGTGAGTCTGGGCTTGTGTGCTTTTTGTTTATTAGCTTATATGTTTTCATGGGTCCTTTTGTCTTCCTTCTCTCCATCACAAATACAAAGAGATGAGAAATTTTTTGAAAGTGTTTTGTACTCCAGTTGATGAGACTTTCCGGTTCTTACGCTGCTGCCTGGGTCATCTTGACCACACCGAAAAATGTTTGTGATAATATTTTAAAATAAAAAAAAAATTGCTTGAAATAGTAGGTTATGACCATTATTTTTTGTTAGGTGATCAAACTGCTAGTTCCCTCATGCAGACCCTCCTATATTTGAATTTTCAGCTGTTCACAATTCAGTTGCAATGTAGTGTCACTTCTTACCTGGTCAGGTATGTGTTAATTAAATCTGGGTATAAAAGCAGAGGCTGTTCTACTGAGGTTAAAGAATTGGAAGGTCATGTGTGACTTGTGAATCCATTTTGTACATGGCTTAGCATCTGTTGGAAGGAGAAGGAAGGTACACGAGCAGATGAACAGCTTTGTTTTTAGCATAGACGACGTGTAACTAGCTGAAGGAGTTCTGAAGCCTATTTAAGTGATCTTTGGGAAGATTTTAAATTTGGGATAACTTAAGATCAGCATGCTCTTTCTAAGAACACAATGGAAATATCAAAGCATTATAAAATCTGAAGTAGCTTTTGTATTTATTTCTATACGTAAAATATTTTGTGTTAAAATAACAAAGAACAAAATTAGCAAGGAAAATACATGTATCATTATCAACCATGCTGTTTTTTTGAGTAAAACAGAACTGAGGGTAAAAGATGCGAGTTATTCGTAGGTTTAAAGTCAACTGGCACTGTGATATTTGGCCAGCTAGTTAACATCAGTCTTTCCTTCCTTGACTTTATGTGAAGTATTTATAGTCACTAAGCTGATTGCTTCTTGTCATACTTCATAGAGTCTTGGAATAAATTGTCACAGTAGGGTAGTGTTTTTTAAATGCAATTAGATGCTGTTAGGCTAATCAGACAAGACTGGAAAAGAGGTAGCGTAATCTTCATTAAAACTGATTTTTGGTCAACCTGAAAACCTGCATGAAGTTTCCCATGTCCAAATTTTTCAACTGTTTAGATGCTTTTACGACCAGAAGATTCTTCAAAAAACTTTTGGAGAGTGGAAGGAGTGGTGGACTGTTTGCGGAGAAAGGAAGCTCAGCCTCAGAGCAGGCAGCCATTACAGGTTTGTGACATGACTTCCTATTATTGTGTGTATATAGCAGTATGAGAAATTTTCCTTAGGTTCTGAAGAAGTTATTAATGCCAGTAAGCAAGTTACATCAACAGTACCTCTAGGCCAAGAGCAATGTCTTCATTGCTTATTTTCATATCTATCTTCTCCTCTTTCTTTTTTTTGTTGCTGTTGTCTTAGGATGAAGTCAAAATTTCCTATCCAACATATCTTTAAAGTGCAATTGAACTTGCAAGAATCCTACTTCTAGGCATTGGTAGCTATTTCACTGAATAGTGCTTTTTTTCATTTTTCAGGCATTTACTCCAGAATTTGATATTCAAGGCTTGGAGAGCCTATGTATGCCAGCAACAAGGAAAGAGGAACAAATACTGTGTTGCAGAGTCTCATGGTAAGTGAAGTGATGGTAACTACCTTTATTTGGGGACATACTGAGATGGGAGTTTCCAAAGGAAATATTTACAAAGAATCTCTTCCCTTGTGCACGTTTGCACATTGACCTCCCCCACCCTATGGAAGTGTAATGCTTTTAGGTACAGATGGTTGTCTGTCTAAAGCTGGCAGGGGGGTTCTGTTTGATGCACTACTGTGTGGCTATATAGTTATTTAGGGATGCCAGTGAATAAGCTTAAGGGCCTCTCCATCTGCTCTGGATTGCATTGTTTGTTTTTTGGGGGGGTGGTTTGGTTGGTTTGGGGTTTTTTTGTTTGTGGGTTTTTTTGTTGTTTTTTTTTTCTTTTACTTTATCACAGTATGTGTTCAAATAAATATTTTTTGTTAGAATGTGTTGCTGGAATTCTGTTATCAACTGTGGCTATAGAAATTAAACAATAATTCCCTGTGGTGTCAACTGCACATATTTTATCTGTATTCAGTATTCCTTCCAGCTTGTGTCTTGCAATTGAAAAGCAGCCCAAGCTTTTGAAGTGCCCCTTGTCTTATTGTGTAGATTCTTTGTTCCGCAATGGATTTGTCCTGTTGATGACATTGCTTATATTGGTTGCAACATCCTTTGGTTTCAGGGAATATGTTTCCCTGAAGGGGAGGATGACCCTCTTTTAAAGATGATGCTGTGGTTTTTGTTCTGTGCTGATTTGCAAAATAAGTTAACTGCTCTCTTTGCATATGCGTGTGGCCTCAGAATATTATATAGACTGGCACTTTTCAAAATGAACTGATAGGCTATCTAGATTTCCATTCTTACTGAGTGAGGCCAGAGTACTTGGAGAAGCAGCTGTGTGTTACTTAGTCAAAAAGATAGAAAAGCAGCCTGTTTTAAGGTAGGTTAATAGTTGATTCACCAGATCACAAGGAAATCTTTAAAAAGTGTGGTGGTTTTTTTGGTGTAAGTGTGGAGTGGCATAAAATCAATAGTGTTTTTTCTAATAACTTCGTTTCAATAGTGTCAGTTCTGACAAGCCAGACTGTTGTGAGGAGAAAGTGCAGTGCACTGCAGAAAGTGGTAAACTGGGATTTGTGACACCACTTCTGTTTTTAGCTGTGTGACTGACCTGCTAAATAAACTTGACTTGTTTCTGGTTGATTTCTCTGCTTGTAATAGAGAATAACTCTTGAAAAGCCACTGATGAACCTGATGAACTTTTTTTTTAAAACGAACCAAAGAAAATCCTGTAATTCTTACCCAATAAGGTTGTTATGCTGAATATTGTTATACAATTATATACCCTGTAAGCACTGAAGACAAAGCAGTGCCGTTGTCTGATAATTCACGCTGCTCTGAACAAGTGGCATGATGCTGTCAGCGTTTCAGAGATTCTTGTCAGTGTGGCACCCTCAGCCAGGGTGGATGGTTGTGGCTGCGGCTCCGGTGGCTGTTCTTTCAGGGTGTCCCACGAGGTGTCACTGCGGGTTGAGGGGACTGGAGGTTGGGGACAAGTGGTGTTATGGAGTGGTTAAAAAATGCCAGATTCTTGCGTGAACTTAAGATGCTCCAATTTTTCTGTTGTGCACAGCAAAGAAGCAAAAATTGCTCAGGACCTGGCGGCACTGGCTTGTTTATGTTGATGTTCAAAGGACAAAACATGGGATGCAGTCTGTGGCACTGGCTTTCAGGGAAAGAAGCTGTTTGCGGTAAGAATGGAGTGGAAGCAGGCAGAGGGGCGCTGACTATAAGGCCATGGTTTTTACCTGTGTTCTGTTATCTTTTCCTGCAGTGACTTTGTTCCATATCCGATTTTTTTTTTTAGGAGTGTGTGTGTCTGAATTCTTCTGGTATGCCCATAGACTGTGAATGCAAAAGGTTGTTGTTTGTACCTTTTTCCAGTGAGAGGAAGGTGATTTCTTGCACCAAACTATGGAATCTGTGTTTGAACATGTCTGTAACAAACATTGTTTTGGCAGCATATCGTGGGCAGTGTGGAGAAGACGACACTACCAGAACAGCAGTGGACATAAAATGAATATTTTAGCTCTGCAGCACTGGGCCCAGAGCCTGCAATTTCGAGTAAGTCCTAGGAGCTTCAGCTACTACCATTTCTAATGTTTAAGTTGCATGCACATGTGACTAATTTTGCAGATTAATAAAAAAATAGGCCTTATGCTCATTTGCTTTGCAAATTGCAATACTTATGATGGAAGAACATATTAGGACATGAGGAAGTGGAATGAAGCTGTATCAGGGGAAGTTCAGATTGGACATTAGGAAAAGGCTCTTCACCGAGAGGGTGGTTGGTCACTGGAACAGAATCTCTAGGGAAGTGGTCACAACACCAAGCCTGTCAGAGTTCAGGGAGCGTCTGGACAATGCTATTAGATGATTTAGTTTTAAGTAGTCCTGCAGAGAGTTGGACTCAGTGATCCTTATGGTCCCTTCCAACTTGAGATATTCTATGAAGAAGGTCAAAACAATATTTTTACAAGAAAAATTTCTTTACAAGCAATCTACACAGAGCAAACTGGATCCATGTCTTATATTTGCTGGGAAGCAGAATGTCCAAAGGAATTATTACTGTCTTATACAATGCTTGATGATAGTGAAAGCATCAGAGTTCTCTCCACCAGAGAAACTAGCCACAAGTAAATAAGAGGTAAAAGAAAACAGGTGTGTGAGTTTGCAGCTGTGGCATTTTGAGCAGGACATGAAGGGTAGTTGTATCCAGCTCTCTAGAATGCCAAACTCCACAGAGGTCCAATCCACTGTCCCATTAGGAGGTAAGATAGCACTGGTCAGCTGTTTGATGGCAGCTTGCCTCTTTGTGAGACAACATTTCTTATGTCCTAATGAATTTCTGTGAGCATGTTTAACTCAGTTCGGGGTAAGAAAATACAATCCAGCATTTCATGTTCTTGAGAGGTTGTCAGCTCCTTCAGTATATTGTTCAGCTTAGCTGATGTGAAAATAGTGTGGTTTTCTTTCTTTCGCTGGAACTGTGGCTTTTTGTCCATTTCGTTAAAAACAGGAGATGGTAACGCTGCCTGTTTGAGGCCACTATTCTACTAAGGAGATAAACTTGTGACTTGGGAAATCTTACCGTATCTCAAGATGTGATTCTCTTTTGTATAAAAATACTCTGTCTGAAAGAAAGCCTGTTGTCCAAAAAGTGTTATTTTGGCCTTTTAATGGAAAAAGTGCAAAAGTATCCAAAAAAAAGGAAAAAAGTTTGATATCAATATTCTTTGACCTTTTCTATGCTGATATTCCTTTGGTGTTTGTTTGGTTTTGTTTGTTGATTCCCCCCCCCCACTTGTGGGGAGGAACCTCACTGCTCATGGCTTTCACCTTTAGATCTTACATGGAATTTCCTATTGCCTGTGTGTTCTTCCTCTTCTCTTCTTTGTTCTACTTCCCTAATCTTGTCCCTTTTTTTCCCCTTATTGCCCTGCCTCCTCAATTGTTTGGTCAGGCTTGGTTGCAGTGGCGAGAGCTGTATTTATACAGCCAGAATGACAAGCAGAAGGAGACTAGGGCAGTAACTCACCATCGGCACTGGGAATTAAAGAGGTGCATGGAAGCGTGGCTAGGATACTTAAACCTCCACAGAGAAAAGAAACTTCAGAATGGTGAGTGAAAATGGTGAGTTAGGGCAGAACAGGGCTCAGCCCCTTTGCTTAGGGCACAGTGATTTTTTTTTTTTTTTTTTTTCTATTCTAAGAGAGGCTGTAATGTTTCTGCTTGCTCAACAGATGATGAGGTGCAACTTGGACTGTACACTGTTACAGGCCTGGCTAGCTAAGGTTATATACTGAACTGTTGGGAAGATCACCTGCTTTGCATGTGATTTTAAAGAAAATGCTTTACAGTTCCCTTGACAAAAACTTGCACATTGCATATTATATTGACTGAGATAGCTGTGAGAAGGATATATTCAGGACTATTATCAGTCAATTTGTATGTGGATTTTCTTGATAATCAGACAAATCACAACTCATACAGGATGGTAAAGATTATTACACCAGTTCTTTTGTTTCTTCCCTTGAAGCCACTGGAATGAGTTCAGGCATTTGTGTGAATTGCCTGTTGATTGGTGGTAGTAGAAAAGAATCCAGCTTGGATATCGGGGAACTAGTAATAAGAGTATGCTGAAATGTAAGCAAGCTTGTGTATGTTGAAAAAGTGATGCAGTGTCTTAACTTCCCCTTCTTAAGTCAGTACAGCACGTTCCTGCTTTATAACTGCCTTTGTGATCAATAAGAACAACATAGTCTATAGCCGAGTATTACTGTGAATTCTTACCACCATTTTTCAGTTTTAGAGCTTCTGTCACTTCAGAACCAGTGGCTGAAATGTCATGGCCTCACCTGAGATGAATGAACCCATGATGGAACAAGTCATGAGTAATTTGTGTGTTTGTTTTCTAGAGCTGGCCCAAGAGCATCACCAAAGGAGGATAGTCCGGCAGTGTTTCTCTCATTGGCAGCTGTCATGGGAGTGCAGGAGAAGAGTGCATGCTCACCAAAAGGACATTGAAAAACTAGCAGCAAGGATTGCCTTATGGAGAGTCTTTGCACACTGGAAGCATTGTATCCAATCTGTATTTAGTCCCTAGCAGGGACAGCTTAAAAGCATTCCTGTGGGGGAAAGATCTGGTTAATAAGCAGGAATGTTGTGCAGTAGTGTGGGTGACAGCAAACCCGGTCATTAGAAGGATGTATGTAAGGCTATATTAACAATTAATAAAATTGTTGCAATTACAGTATGGTAGCCTGTTGACAGCTAAGAGCCTGCAGAAAATAAGTTTGGGGAGGAATTCCTTACTTAACAGTGAATCAGAAATGTATTGTGATAAGCCAGCAAAATCTAAAAGCTTGACTGTAATCAAAACTTGCGCAGGTAACAGTGCTTGGCAATTCAAATATTGAAGCAAATATAGATGGAGATCTAGTGCCCCTCTGTGGGAGAAAGTTGTGTATATATCAGAACAGATGTTTCTGTGTAAAAGATACTTTAACTCAGTGACAGATGTTGTACTGTGTGTGGAAGAGACTCGACAGTGTGAGCTGGCTGAAAAACACTACAAGCATCATCTGTTGGTAAGAGCACTGTTATGTGTCAGGTGGAAGAGGCTGTGGAGAGGATTCAAATACTTCTGACTGGCAGTGTGCTTTTAATACTAACAGTGGTGTGTGGGTGTTAGGTGGGGGATGCACCATTTTCTGTCATGGTGAGTTTGGATCAGGCATCAGGTTTCTAAATTCCAACTGTTCTGGAATCTGCTGTTTGAATCCAAATGGGGAAATTGTGCTGCTCTCCAAAATAGTTTTTCTTCCAACTGGGAAACTGGTGATGTAGCAGATTAATCTTCATGGTATTGGGCTACTGTGCTCCCTGGCCATTTCACCATGAGATTGCATTTTCCCCTTGACTTGCCCTGATATTTTTTCTTTCCTTCTCCACTCTACCCCAAATTTTTCTGTCTGCTTACACTCTTTTGCTACAAGAATTATTTTTTTCCTGTCTGTAGTAATGCATACATGCTTATTTTCACAGGAGTCCAAAGATAGCTTATTGCATATGCACGTAGTTGGGTGTCTTGTGTTGTTTTTTTTTTTTTTCCTGTGTTTTTTTTGTTTGGTTGGTTTTCTGCTGTTGTTTTGGTGGGTTTTGTTTGTTTTAAAGAAAAGAAATCCTTGAAGGCTGTGTGAAAGGTGGGCACAAGCAAGCCTCTAGCTTTTTTGGAACTGAATTATTTTCAAGCGTGGATCAGTACCGATCATCAAAAGAATGGCAATAAACCTGTTTGGATCATAGACTGAAAACATTAGTGACTATAAGAGCACTTTAAGGCAGGATGCTCTCATAATGCTATTTACCATGTTCATCCCCGAATCAAGGTATTGTGGGATTGTAGACCAAAAAGACCTTGTGCAGAGGAGACCTAAAAGGGAAGTGGATCTTTTCTATTTTTGATAAGGAGCGAGTTATGAGTCTTGAACTGAAGGAGGAGATAGATCGGGAAAGGACTTGGGTAGTGGTGTTGATAGCCGAATAAGGAGTTCGACATCTCACAATAAAACCCTGGGAAAGTGGAAGGAAATTTTAGTTTAGCTGGAGAAGTGATGATTTGTGAGAGGAAATTGATGCATGGCTTTGATTACAAGTTCATAAATCTTAGCTATTACAAGGAGTAGCATTGAACATAGATTGTCTGTAAGGAGCAGCCGGTTCTAAACTTACCAGTGCTTGCTGATTTTGGATTACATGGAAGTTGTGTACATTTCTTGTTACAGAAACTTGGGTTTAAGGGTCTTTGGCAGAATGTCATGAACGCTCGTCTTCAGCAAATGAGAAAAAATCTGTCATACCGTCAGCATCAAGTTACAGTGAGTTTGACTTTATTTTTGTTCTTGTGTTAGTTTTTCTTGAGCTTTCCTATTGGCTTCCACTTTCACCTACAAAATACTTTTTTACTAAATCAGTGGCTGTGTTCCTAAATACTAATAGCCACAGAAAATCTCCTGTGTAAGTCAGCTGTCAGTCTTAGATATGTTATTTTAGTTTTCTGTTTTCCTATATTTATGGTGAATTTTTCTTTTACCAGAAAAATTCATACCAGGTTATAAAACAAGCAGTTTCAGTAGGACATTTAATAATTTCTTTCCTTGCATTCTTCTCCTCCCTCGATATCTATGTTTTTTCATGTCTTTGTTGTTTTGTTTCAGGTGCTGCAGAAGTTCTGGAACCATTGGAAGTCCCGTTTGGAACATGAGGAAGAACAGCAGCAGCAGGCCTTAACATCAGTGGCTCATGCCCATTACAGGTACGCAGAGAAATATTAATATAAATTTGTGCAAATGTGGGACTTGTGGGCCTTTGGTTCTCTTTTAAAATCTGGTAATACCTTTGGGGGCATGACCATCCTAGTGCCAATTGCTCTTACATTTTCTATGAGTAATGGACAATTTATTTCCTGCTTCTCTGTGAAATGTGAGAGGGAGATTGAATAAGCCTAGCTCTGAGGCTTGTTTAGATTTAGGAGTGGGATGTTTTACTGGTAAGAGCAGTAGGTTGCAGCATGAGCATGGACAAAGCTCAAAATGGTTACTGCTGCTTTACTTTGGGGAGGAACAGGGGGAGTTGATGGCTTGTGTATGCTACCTCTGCTGCTAGAGGTACTCTAAGAGTGAAGGGAAGGCTTTTTTTGTAGAAGCTAAATTTATTTAGTTCTAGGAATAAGTCAACATTAACAAAGCAGCCAGAAGGCTTTCAAGTTTGACCATGTTTGTTATGATGAAGTTGAAAGGGTATATATTTGATTCTTATGCTTCCTTTGTCTGTTGGGTCTTAATGCTGCTTTCAGTTGCTCCCAAAATTGCAGGATGTGCAAATACTCTAAACTTTGTTGCCTTAGAACTTCCTTGATTTTTGGGTGAAGCTTAGCTGGAGAGAATGAGACCTCTACAAGACAGGTCTGTGCTACTCAGTACAGCATGCTGTACTCCACAATGCTCAGATCCTCGGGCTAGAGTTGAAACTGAAAACACTTCAACAACAATACTATGGTGTTGCTCTCAAACAAATGAAACCTGTTGAGATGTCACCATGTTAGTATATTAGTGCAACGAGCCACATAGAGTTGCTTGGTTTAAATTAGATGCAGGGTAATAAAGGAAGGAAGGGAACCTTCATTCTGCTGTGCAAGCTTACGTGTGATGTTTTTTATGAGCTTAGCACAGCCTGCACTCAAAAAGATGCTTGATTTTACTACAGCTCAGAGAACTACCTTGTGGCCTAATCAGTATCTTCTACTCAATAAAATTTCTATCTCATTTCTTTTAATCCTCCCAGCAGAGTTTGCTTTAAGTATTAAAATTTTCTTGATTAAGAGAGGCTAATCCTACAAGGGTGACTGATACACTTGGTACTGAATTAGAGTTGATTCTTGTTTTATTTTCAGGGCATAATTTTTGCACAAATCTCTCAAATTGCCTGATGGCTTGGCATCAGGACCACTTTGGTTTTGCTCAGAGGTCACTGAAGAAATAAGAAATATTACTCTGGTTACAACTGACTTATAGTCAGTTGCAGTATGTGCAGTTGGATTCAATATGAAACAAACAAGGTGTGCCTGCAAGCTTTAATTCTGGCTCCAAGACCATTGTGGGACTCATAGGAAAAGAACCTGCACTCAAAATGACGATACTGGTCGTTTCATCAAACTGATGATACAGTTGTTTCACAACTGCAGTTGCACCAAAATAAATCCATTACAACTGCTGGAGTTATTCTTATTTAAGTTTGCAATATGAAATTGAGTGATATTGCTGGGAATCTTTCTTCTTTAGAAGTGCTTGGCATTTCTGTTTTCTGTTAATCGATGCTATGGGTTCTCATCACCTCTTAAAATTCAACCACTAGCCTTTGGTTCAGAGCAATGATATATCTTACTAACTACTTTTACTGGCATATTATGGAGGCACAGACATGCACAGGAGCTACAAGAGTGTGTACTTGTTCATTGTAGAAATCAGAGGTGGGGGAATATTGATTGAGAGGAAAAAAAGTATTTGCCTTTTTTTGAGATGCCTTAAAGGCCTTGCCTGGGCTTGTATTTTTACCCATGGATTCAGTGCTGAGTCTTCAGGTAGATTTATGATTTTTTGATGCTACTAAAACCTATTTCCCATTTTCTGTATTAGAATACTAACCAAAAAAAAGTTTGCTTTTCTTGGGAAAGGGTATGTTTGGAAATATGCTCTTACAGTGAGTCCCCTCCTGGGACACTTTTTCCTGTGTAAGTTGAGAGAAAAAAGTGTTTTTCAACATCAAATCTTCTTTCCTAGTAGATGTGGAACCTTGTACCTTTCATTGGCAGAGGATGATCACACCATGTGTTCTAGATTCATACTGTTCTGTCATCAGAAGCCTGGCTTCACAGTTGAAAAGCAAGCTGCAGAAAGTCTGTTTTGCCTTGGATATTGGCTTGCTTTTTGGGAGATTCACAAATAGGTTTGGAGGGCAGGCTGAATAATAGGGGCAGCTGCATTTCTGCAAGCAATTAAGAGTTTTTCCAACTGGTGTGAGTGTGCAGCTGTGGTGCATTAGCTTACCCTCTGGAGACAAGGAGAGAGAAAAGGGTCAAATACTCAGGAGGTTAAGCTTAGTGAAGATGAGTTGCAGCATGCAACTGCTGCAATGTAACTTATGCCTCTCTCACCAGGGAAAGGATGAACAGATGGTTTGAAGGCTCCCATTGGTTCTCTGGGCATACCTTGATTTCATGGGTCAGGAATGTTTTTGTGTGCAATCTTTTCTCTTTAGAAAGGGTATAAATGAAGTCCTATTTCCTGAACACAAAAGAACAAACTATAAGAAGTGTGTTCCTTGTTCAGAGGTCCAGGGCTGCTTTCCAACCAGACCTAAGTAAAACTTTCATGGCAGCTTGCCAGAACTCAGCTTCTCTGTTGGTCTCTGATGCGTGTACGTGCTGTCTCACAAGTCAGTGCCCCAGTTGCTGTGTCTGGTGGTAAGGCCTAGGAGATTCTCCAGAAGAGCCATCAATTGAGATTTGTGGCTGTCTACAGATCAAAGACACCCTTGCTGGCAACTATCAGTACCCTCCAGGAAGACTTACTTAACTCATACTGTTTACCAACCTATAAACTTGTAATGAGCTCTAACAGCTACCTACCAAAAATTACCTGGTAAGAATCCAAAATATCTTTTGGGCCTCTTTAGACTAGAGAAGAGCTGAGACTTGCTGACAATCTAATTAGTACGCCCACATGACTGAGTTCTGGAAATAACTGATGTAGTTTGAACTGCGTGCTATTTCCACTAGGCTGTAGCTCAGACTTCTGGACTAGGACACTTCTACTGTATGCTTGTTCTGTGAGAGTTGTATAGTGCTCCATCACAAATATATATTAATTGCATTTTGGGGATACTATTTGATAGTGATTCTTGTGCATCCCTGGGGAGGAGGCAGACTAGCAAGTATTATCTTCATCTAGAGAGAAAGAAGCTTTGATAATGAGGGCAACTAACCTGACCTTGTTCATAAAAGAAAGCTTTGGTAGAATCCCTTCAGTATTGAGATCAGACCATGCTGCTCTTTATTATTTGTTGTTATAATTTTTTTCAAGTCCTATTACAATGTTCGTTTGTTTTGTTTTTAAATAAAAAAAGTAGAGTAGGATTTTCAAAATATTTCCAAGGGAGGAGGGAGTGGACTATATTTACAGTGGAGAAGAAATAAAAGGTTATTATATAATTTTTTTCTTTCTGTGTGTTTATAAATTAAATTAATTGGTCAGAAGTCAGAAGGATCTTTTGAATTATCTGAATGAAAGCAGGGAGTTCTGGTAACTTCAGAAAATTCATTAATCTTGTCTCATGTATTCTGGGTAAGATTTCAGGGGGCAATTTGCCTGTTTTTTTAACACAGAGAATAATGAGGACATATAGCTGCCTGACTTCCAAAGAACGCTTGCATGATATGAAAAATCAAGTAACTGTTTAAGTTGTAGATGGATTGGTCTTTTGACATTCATAAAAACAATCTCTTTTCTGAAGGAATTCTCTCCTGTGCTGACATTCTCCCTTTTTGCTTGCAGGAGGGTGTTGATGAAACAGGTATTTGACACGTGGTTGCTGAATGCCTGCAACCAGCAAGAATACAGAATGGGAGAGGAGAGGGTAAATGTAACTCTTTTACCTGGCCTTGCTTAGGAGATAGAGGGGATGATTTCTTAGTCACTGTCTGGCAACATGCATTAGCATGAGATGGACTTGGGTGTTGTAAATTCCCTTTTCCCAGGTGGGGGATCAAGTCAGGGGAAAAAGAACCAATATTTACTAATCACAATTTTTTAAGTTAAGCTGTTTATTAATAATAGAATTAAGCTGTTATTATTAGAGGATAGCTATTCACACAGTTCATTCACTTATTCCCTCAGCCAGTAAATATGTGTGTGTGCGCTCTCTCTCACACTCAGTCTGTTTCATAGTTAGCTGCTTGAAACAATAATAGGAATAAAGAGCCAACCCCAAGCTATTGAAGAAGTGCAGGGTTGTACTGACAAGCTAGTTGCTTCTAGGTAGGTGTCCATAAAGACCCTTAAGGGGTCCTTCATATCCTAAGATGTGTGTGTATATACATATATATATATATAATCCTGTAGTCTTTATACATAGCAGCCACTGCTGCCTTTTATGTGGTCAGGTTTAGACAACTCATAGTTGATGGTAGCATGTGTGGGTGGCCTTGTGCAGATATGGCTGGCTCCTGGTGTTCTGAGATTATCGGTTCTTGCAAATTCAACAGGACTGGTTTCTGGAGCTTATCGGTTCTTGGGAGTCTTTCACATGCTACTTATCAGCTTGTATTTTTCCTCTCTTTGGCCCACTGTTTTCTGGTAACAGTTTCTCCATCTGCATGCATATAGATACCTGTAGAACATGTTCACATAAACTTGCAGCAAAGGGCCTTTGATGACATGACCATTACTCTTCAAGGTGAGAAGAGGAGAACAAACATTGGACAGTTCTGTGCATGTCATCTTCAAGGAATTCTCTTCTGTTTGTAACTGGCCTGTGTCATGAATTCATTGCCACCTTCTTTCCATTATAGGCTGTACTTCATTTTGAAAGACAACTATTGCGTTGTTGCTGGCGCTTCTGGCATAGAAGAACAGCTGCATGTTTGGAGGAGCAAGAGGGCTTGGTTCGTGCGAGAGATCACTACAGCAACCTGCTGCTGCTAAAGGCTTTCGGTCTGTGGAAGCAAAATACTCAGGAGAGAAAAACGGAGTAAGAAGTTTTTTTAAAAGGGAGAATTATTTGGATTGGCCTTGTGGTGGCTTACTTCTAAGCATTTCATTCACAAAGATTCTGACTCCTTATTTGTGCTTTGGAAACTACTAGTTTGTCTTTCAGTAAATGACTTACTGAAAATAGCAATTGTGGATTCAAGTCTCTCCTAGAGAGGTTCAGTAACATGGATTGCATTGTAGGAGAAATAATTAAATTATTTTTCTTACAGGAGGCTCAAGGAGATGCAAGCCTTAAGATTTCAATATTCAAAGTGTCTGCAGCAGACTTGGAACAAGTGGAAGGAGGTGAGAGAGTTAACAGATGGGGAAGAGCTTGAATCCTTTTTGTTTATGTTCAGATTGCTTGTACCCATATGGCTAGAAATTAAATTGTTTATTTTAAATACTAGTCATTCCTAAGCTTTCCTCCCTTTCCAGGTGGATAAAACCAGTTCTGTGTGGGCGGAACAGGAACTGTGTAAGGAGGAGAGTTCTTTGACTTCTTGTTCTAGATATAGTGAGAATGGGACCATAGTTTAGGAGGTTTATCTGGGAATGTCACCAGAGTTAGTGTGATGAAATTGTCCCTAGCCAGTACTGTGTATGTCCTCCTTAAAATTTTACTTAATTTAAAAGTTTGCAGCAAGGCCATGGTGTATGGTCTGTAGTTGTGTACAGGTCATGGCAGGCCCTACCAGATGGCACTTCACTCTTATGCTGGGCCTTTTCCTTACCATGATGTGATGTATCAGATGTGCCTTGCAGCATGTCTTGAGAATCTGTGAGAAATTTTAGAGTTGATGCTAGTCTGTTGGTCCAGAACTGTTAAGCTGAGTGAATTATGTCAGCCTTCAAGAGTATTCCTAAAAAGGGCAGAAAAGAAAAAAAGCCTCAGCTAGGCCTTTTGGAGGAATAGCAGAGTGCAGCACCAGTTTCAGTGAAAACCTATTACAGCAAGATAAAGCATTGATGTTTCCCCAGAGACTGGGAATGGTCCTTTTCCCTCTGCTCTCTACCATTGCCTGTTTTCCCTCCATCACGGGTACATGTGGGTTTTTGTTTTTTGTTTTTGTTTTTTTTTTTCTCCCCTGCATTATAGTACATGGGACATCAACGTGAGAAGTGGAGGAAGTTGGTGCAAGCAGACATGCATTACCGGCACACATTACTGTGCAAGACCTTGGCAGCCTGGAAGGTAGGAGGGAACGTCCTTTTCTTTGAGGGACTTGTCTGTGTGTGCTTAAGTGTTTCAGTGAGAACTGAAGAGCTGCCACGCTGTTTCACTCTGAGCACTTACACACCAAGTATGCAAGGTAGAATGGAGGCTGTTGTAAATAGGGTTGTATAAGCTCTAGCATTGCTTTCTGGAGCAAAAGAACCAGTCTAATCTTGTGGCTTTGGTGAAGGGTATATAATAGCTAGTATTAACTAGTGTGTAATGACTGTTCATCTCAGAAAAGCAGCGTTCGATTTCCGTGGCTGTAACTTAATTTTTTTTTTCCCCTATACTCTACTGCTGCTATTACTATCCTAAGCTCTGCTAAGAGTTTCTAGATGTCTCCTCTCCTCAGAGATGTTGACAGTTGAGGGAAATTTTACCTCTCGCTGCTTTTCTTGCAGAGTTACCAACATAACGTACAGTGCGTTCTATACCAAGTAGCTGAAAAGGAGAAACAGCACACTAGACTACTGCTGCGGTAAGCCTATGTTTCGTTGTGCAGCGTGAGAGAGAAGTGACTGCACCACAGTCAAATTACTCTCTTTCACTGCCACATTTGTAAATTTTTGAGTGTTCAGTGCTGGGAATTGCTACTGTGCATTTATTTCTGTGCAGGTCATCTAGCTAAAAGAAGTCAACCTCTTCCTGGATTGCTTTAACTTTTTTTTTTAAATCTCTGTTTAGTCCCATAAGAGACAGCAGAGAGCAAACTCTGTCATTCCCTGCAGTGCATGGATTCTGACTGCTAGATATTAAAGCAGTCTGGAAGATGTAGAGGCTGTCTTGCGTTACAGGGAGGAGAGCGATTAAAGATAATATCACTTTGTGTTTGTTGTAGTTGCTTTAGTTTTAACTACCTCATTTGTTTTAATGCTATACAACTTGAGTCACTTGCAGAGCCTGATTGACTCAGCTTAAGATGCTATATTTAAGGGTGTGTTCTGTTTTTGCACTGCCTTCTTTTCAGCAGAGACCTGAAGGGGCAGAAGTTGATTTGCAAGTCTGAGTTTGTAGAGGCAGCTGGTTTTGGTTCCCCTGTGAGTGAGAAGGTGCCAAATCCAAATGAACAAGTGAGAATCATTCTTAATGGTTTTTGTTTGTTTTTTAATTTTTTATGTATTTTGCCTTCAGACAGCTTCTGTGTACGTGGAGAGAAAATACCCTTGCTCTTATATGTGAAGTGAAGGCAACTACTCAGGCAGATGAGCACTACAGGAGAGCAATCCTGTCAAAGGTAGGGTCTGTAAAGCAGATACCAAGGTCTAAGTACAGATGGTAGTTTAGGCAGGGGTCAGGTAATGCAATTAGGAGGACCGAAAACTTAATCTAAGAGCCGCTACTAAGAAAGGTCTAAAATGTGGAAGTCCCATCTTATTTTTACAGGCATCTCTGAAATTTGTCTCTGAGTCACCTCATGGTTTTTCCTCTTCCTTTCTTTCTCCCCATTTCCTAGAAGGAAGGGAAAACCAGTAGTATGATACTGCTTAGTAGTATTACCTGGGGCAGGGAGGACAGGGTGCGGTGTGGACAGATGGATGGAAAAGAGGGATGTCTCGAAAAATGCCGGGGGACCCTCTGAAATACTGTTGTATTTAATTTGTAGGAAATTTGAACTGTCTTGCTGAGCCTCATGAAAAATGAGATGGAAATGGTTATGGTGCCAGCAATGTGCAGTACATTGCTTCCCCTTCCAAAGAACATTGCAGTGTTAGTCTGTATCCTCTCTCTTGTTTGCATTACATCTTTAGGTGTTGCTACAGTGGAGATATACTGCCTTGCTACAAGTGCGTTGCCGTCAGCAGAAGGTGACAGCTGTGATGGAGGCCAGAAAACGTTTGGATATAGGTGAGCTGATGGAAGTATTAAACTCTCAAAAGACTTAGTTATCTGTGTACAATCCTTAGAAAGATATGGGTTAGCAGGGCAGTCTTTTGTGTCATCGTACATATGAAATGGCTGGATGGTCTATTAAGCCTACAAAGGACATCCCCATAGAATGGGGAATGACTTGGGACCTCAGTGATCTGTTGAAGGCTGCTTGTGTGACACTGCTTCTCTGTTGGTTCCTTGTCTATATAAGGGATGTTAACACTTCCTTCCTCAAAGGAATTTTCCATTACTAATTTTGAGAAGCTCAGACATCTCTGTTTTGAGGGCAGTGCAAGTAATCTTATCAATTACTGCTTCAATCTTTCTCTAGTAATTAATACCAAAAGGCCTTCAAACTCTGCAAGCATTTTCATGGTACCAGCCACGTTCTTGACATGAGAAGAGCACAGAGGGCAAATGATTTCCTAAAGTTTATAAAGAATGTCAATGGCAGCAGGGAAGATTTGCAAGTCATGGCTTGCTGTCCATTACCTGAAGTGTTTCATGATCTTTCTTCCTAGTGCTGAGTATTGTCAGTGTTAACTATTGTTAAAACAGTCTGGAAGAGTAGCTGATCACTTGATACTCTCTGAGATTAATAATCTCCTTTCGGTACATTAGTTAATTTATCTTCTCCTAACAGTGCGTTTACAGACCCTGTTTCTTCACTGGAAGGAATTAACTAGGGAGTCTCTGATGCTGAGGGCTCAGCAGCAAAGGGCAGTACAGCACCACCAGCAGCACCTACTCCAGAAGTACCTGGTGAAATGGAAGGAATATCATCAGCAGCGTGTTGGGAAAATGGTGAGAAGGATCAGCAACCTCCCCAGCCAGTGACCCAGGGTGGAAAGTTATGAGTGTGGAGGAGCAGGCCATGTGCCCTGGTGAAGGGAATGGTGGTCTTGGCTGAGGAGGAGCATGACAGCCTTGTGCATTGAGGAGGAAGGAACATGCCTGTGTCTTGCCTGAAGAAGCTTTGATAGAACTAATAGGCTTAAGAGATGACAAGCTGGGCTTGCCATGTGTGGGATAGTTTACTCTTAATGAAATCCTTGCTGGGCTCATAGATACTTGCAAATGGGGTTACACTGTAAGGCACTTAGATATTGAGGGTAGCCTCGACAGAACAAAAGGAGGGTGATAAAAAGCTGTTTGGTACCTCTTCTGCTCTAATAGCATTTGGCTCAGATAAGTGGGGTTTGTCTGCAAGTGACTCACTGTTTTGATTGCCTTACAGCTACTACAGAGACAGGGAGATTGGCTAATGACTCGTAGACTTTGCTCTGCTTCCTTCTCTTGCTGGAAGACACAGGTAAGGAATTGTCCCCTGGGTAGGTATCTAGCTCTTGGCTGATCCTTATCCCTTCTCATTCATATGCCATTTACACATGAGGACCACAAGAATTTATTTAAACGTTCTCTTGATTTTTGGTTCCACTAGCACAAGAGAACCTTGCCATATACTGGGTGAACTGAGTAGGTTATTCTGCTATGGCTCTGCCAGCACTTCCTGTTTGGTTGATGCTCTGGCTAGCATTTCTGGTGTGGGATACACAAACTCCTGACCTGGTTGCTGTGCAATTTTTTTCCCTGATAGCTGTTGCGGCAGCGATGGGAAAAGCGGAAGACGGTGCAAGCATTGTGGCACTGGTCCCTTTCATTGCAGAGAAAGGTAAGGGTGTGTGGGGGTCAGGGGCAGGCAAGTGAATTTGCAGATGTGCAGATCATATGCAGATTTGACTGCAGTCAGCAGAGTCTGCACTGAATATCTGTTTCTTTTCATCTTTGGGGTGCTATACGTTATTTTAGGATGCTGGAAAGCTGTCCCTAAATCCTCTTATCTGATTAAAAAATTTGCACATGTTTTTTCCCATCCAGCCTCAGCTGACTTAAATCCCTGTCCTTTTGTCCTTGTGGCAGTGTCCTGCTGTTGCTGTAGCTCTGCCTATTGCTACCCAGCGGAAGGGAAATTGTTCCCATCTGCAGGGGGAGTCCCTGGCCTGGAACCTGTCTTTGTAACACTCGCAGCTATCTGTTGTTCGTGCTGTAGGTATTTGATGCTTGGCTCACATTTGCCAAGGGGCAACAGCAGAAGAAAGATCACATTGAAGAAGCCACAGGATTTTACCACACAACTCTTCTGAGAGAAGGTGTAACCCCGGTCTTGAGAGACACTGCTGGCACGGAACAGTTGCAGGGACAGCTGCAAGCCCAGCACCAGCTGAAGGTGAAAGAGACAAGTGATTGCTCAGATACACCCAGGACTGGTCTGCTCTGATCCTGTGTGTGTGTGTTCATGTGTATGTATGTATCTTGGAGCCCTACATCTCGGGTCTTGTTTGGATCTGACATACACTTCTGCCTGTGGTTCAAAGCAAAACACCCTGTCCTTTCATTCAGCTGAGACTAGAGCACATCAGACTTATGTTGCTAATTGGGAACCTCTCTTAATGAAGCTTTTTCAAAACTGGCCAATTCCTGCTGTAGACAATATTGCTGGATGAAACCTTTGTATGTGGCTAGGGTCTGGTCTCTACATTCTGTGCTAGAACGAAGTATTAGAGGCTGCATCTAATCCTGTCATAGCTTTAGCACCACTTAGACCTTCAAATGTGGGCTTGTGGCGCTTCTCCCTTTGCGTATCAGCCCAGCCCTGTGTGTGGAAAGGAAGATAGGGATGCCTGTATTGATTGCTCTCTTCCTGCTCCTGGGCAGCTTTCCCAGCTCTTTTCTGGGTTTTCAGGACACTAGTCGTTCCGTTTGCTAATGTGCAGCCTGCCTCATTGCAGAAGTACCCATTTAATTCTCCTTACCCAAATGTTACCACAGTAGACCTAATTTAGCTTAGAGAGCTGGTATGGCTGTGAGGTCATCAGAAATCTCAGTTCCTTTCTGTGGTGTTCTCCCTGGGTGGTGTTGTGTTGCTTCCTACTCTCAGCCATCAAACGCTCTACTATACTTTATGTTGGCAGGCAGCCGACAACCTTCACCAGTCAGTGTATCGTTGTGCCATGCTGTGGAAACAGAAGGCTCTCTCCAAGAAATTAAATAAACCTTGTTCTTTTCTGTCACCTCTGAAGAAGCAGGTGACATTTAAAATGCCTGATGTTAGCCTTGAGACAAGAGGACATTTAGCAGAGGAAGAGCCATGGCCTTCAAAATGCAGTCATCTACCATTTCACCTTGCTGATGGGGACTCAGTTCTCAGTGATCTGTAAGTGTAAAGCTCTAGTCCCTCCTGCGTTTCTCTGGCATATATGTAGCTTTGCATATATGTAGTCAATCTGTCTGCATCTCTCACTTTTGTATTCCCAAGTTTTCACACTGATGACTGAGTGACTAGAGCTGTCACTGAAGCTCTTCTTTTTTTCACTGAAGTCATGTTTAGGGTCTGATGAAATGATAAACATCAAGATCCCAGCTGTGCAGAAACTGAACTTTCTTCTTGCCCCTTTCTTTCCCTTGGGGAAGCTATTCCTTAAAAAATTCTTGCTGATCATGGGGCAATTGCAAGGAATATTCTTCCATGAAGCTTCTGAGTCCAGGACAGGCGCCTTACAGGGAAATACAGTGATAGCTTCACATTTCTTTAAGCTAGTATATGCTGCCAGAAGAATTAGTTCTGCCTTGTTCAGTTCTGTCCCTTCCACCACTGCTTGTGTTGGCACAATCATTCATATGGTGAACCACATTGCAACATTAATACAGGTCGAGATTTAATCTTTAAAAATTATTATTGCATGCAAGGGGAATGTTGCAGAGCAGGGATGAATGATAGAATAGGACTGTTTCTTTAGCTGCAATGCCAGCTTATGCCAATTTAAAATAATCATGAATCTGGGGCATTACTGAGTCTGTCTGTTCTTTTCAGAAATGCTATTCGACGAGCGAGGTTACCACCACGGAGGCCTGACTTTCTTCTGGAATCTCTAGAAAGCAACGAACTGCTGGGACCTCCTTTTACTAGGTAGAAAATCTGTTTTTAAAAGTAAAGAAAAAGAGGGTGACTTAGAGTGGGCCTTATGCTATGCTTATCCCCTCAAATCCCCTTACCTTCGTAATAAAAGAACATTCAGTAATTATGGGACTGTGCATTGCTCTGTACTATCAAAAGGCCATGGTGACCTTAAAAACTTCAGGTTTCTTACATGAAGCAGACAAGAATAATGGAACTTCAAGTTAATTAAATAGCAACCAAGGCCTTTGTTGCATTAGTGACAGATTTTGATAGAAAGATAAGGCACATCACTTATTTCCAAAATTAATGGGCTGAATTAATAAGTTGCCTTTTCTGTCAGTCTTGCCACATAAACTCAGAAGTTTGAGTTGTGCAGGATGCTTTTTGCTCACAGATCATATTTGCTCCACAATAGGTTTGGGTCTGGATTTAACTGATCTACTGGGGAATAATTAATGATTCTGGTAATGCAGAGCCAGAACTGAATATTTCGCTCTGTTTCAGCTGAATCAACTTTGCTGCTCTAAAATGAGCTACTTTTTTATTTTTACTTTCCCCAAAAGGTCTATGCTGCTGAAATTGTTCAACTAAGCAGTAGTTTCACTATCTTGAGTGTTCTGCACTTGTTTTAGTTATGGTATCACTTCTTAGCCCTGAAAGTGAGGGAGCTGAAACTGCTCTTGCTATAGAAGCTGAAATTGCTTTTAAGCAGATGTTTAGACTGAACTTTTTTAATGAAACTGTTCTGTAATTAGCTTTAGAGAGGGGAACTATCTATCAATTTCCTGTCAAAATCCATCTGAGATTGCTGCTTCTGCTCCCCTCTTTCTCTTGTCCCCAAACCAAAATAAGGCAGGATTTTGTTAATGATTTGGATTCACAGCTCTAAAGAAATTGTTTCAGCCTGGATTGATGTGTAGAATTTGGAGCAGGGCAGGTAGGAGTAATGGAAACCTTAACTGCTTTGCTTTTTTTTTTTGTTTTTTTTAAACCATTGTGGTGTGTTGTTTTTTGGTTTGGTTTTGGGATTGTGGTTTTTCTTTTCTTTCCTTTCTTTTTTTTTTTTTTTTAAATTAGGCTTTCCCCTGTATATTAAAGCAGCTAACTGGGAAGCTGTATGTAAGGGAATAACAAGAACCTCCCTTTTTTTTTGCACTGACTGCGAAGTACAAGACCAACAGGTTGCAACCTATAGGGACCTCATCCTTCTTCCCTTACAGATCAGAGGCACCCTTTCAGCAAACATCTGTGAAGAAACGTTCTGCACGGACTGGGAACTTAATGCTAACACCTCAAATGGAAGAAAGTACTTGTAAATGCATCTCTCAAATGGGCAATACCTCTCATTCCTATCCATCTCTCATACATGCTGCTCTCCCGTCTGTACCACTGTGGACAAATGATGTGCACCGTGCTGTTCAGAGGCCAGAGCTATGGTCTCCTTCATCTTTCATGTCCCAAATGAAAGCTGGAGCAGAAATGGTGAGTGTATTGCTGAAGGAAAAATTAGTGTGCTTACTGGGCTACTGTCAACACGCATGCTGCTTATTGCTGTTTTTTCCCGTGGCTCCTCTGAACAGCCGTTCTGGTTGTTGAGCTATTCTTTTCTTGTTCTGTTACCTTAAAAGCTGACTAAATTAACTGGCTCTGAATGCCCAAGAACTGTTTACCACCAGTCTGAAGCAATATTTCATTAGCTGACCAATCCACATGTGTGTTATACTGTAATTCATGCCTTTTTTCTTGGTCTTGTGTCCTTCCTAGCCAGATGCTTTTCCTAGCAATTGATTTGAGAGTGCTTCAGACCAGTTAGTTTGCCAACCAGATTACAGGGATTTAAGAGTAACTCAGTTTAGGAGTAGTGACTATGGCTGAGAGTCTCAAGAACTGAAATTCAGTTCACCTGCAAGTAGGTGCTTGCATTTTAAACTCCTTTGTTCCACACAGAATGGGAGGTGTGAATCTTGATGAAATATCTCCATGCTAGAAATGAAAGAACCCATTTCTTAAGCTCTTCTTCTTCTGTGGTATTTTATGAGAAGGGCTTAGTGACTACAGGGGGTGTCTGAGTGTGAGTAGGACTTAGTAGCTCAGGTACATCCTACTTGTAGGGCTCACTCAAGAAAACCCTTTGAGAAAACCAGTATCATTCTGACTTTGTAGAGAGGTCAGCCTGTGAGTGGTCACAAAGGAGCCCATTCCCAAGACTCTCAACAGGACTCTGTGAAGAAGTTGCAACCAAACTTGCAGCCACATTTGCTGTCACCTGAAGACTTTGTGGGAAAAAGGAGTCACCAAACTGCAGGTAGGTCCTCAGATCTAAACTGTAGCAGTTGTGTGTCCTCCTCCAATATATACAAGACTGCAAGTCAACTCCACAAAATGTAAGGGAGACAAGGCAGTCTTGTATGCCTGCATCAGGTGAAGAATATCAGCCATTCCTTTTCAGGATGGTAATACAGTTTTGTGGATTCTGCTGAATCAGGGAGCTTAAAACCCTGTTCTAGGGATTGGAGGATAGGAACTGCTAGGGGTCAGCTTTTAGCAAGAATGTGCTCAGGCATTCATGTATGCAGGGCTGAATGTACAGCAGAACTCACTTCCGGAGGGAAGAATTCACCCAGTAAGGGTCTCTGTTTTCCCCATACTTAGGGTATGGTTGTAAAGGGGATGGATGGTGTCTAAGCACCTCTCAATGTGGTGTTTTTAATGACGTAAGGGCATGAAATTTGTGTTCCACAGGACTAGACTTACTACTTAGTTCTAGAGTAGATGTAAAACACTAAATTGTGAATAGGCCAAAATAGCATTTGTAGTACCAAACCATTCACCAGAGCATTTCTTATCTTTTTTTTTTTTATGTTTAAACTGAGTCTTCAGTGCTTGTAGTGCTGTCAGGACTCCTGCCCTCTCACTGTACCTGATCTTTGGGTGAACAGGTACATGTCACAGGGTGACAAAATGTGTGAAAAGGATGCGTGAGGGTTCCATGTTTCCTGTCTGCTAACCTGACTTTCCTTGATAAAAAGAAAGAGCTGAAGTCTGTTCTACTTCCATTGCTTGTGCCTTGTATCTTCCATTCAGCTGAGGGGGAAGAAAGGGAGCATAGTTCCAGAGAAGAAGTGGCATTACAGAGAAAGCTGGAAGTTGAACTCCAACACATCCAACAGCAGATGCAGTACTACTTCAGCAGGAAGCAAGAACTCAAGTATGTTGCAAAGCCCCTTTAGCCAGACTTTCTTCATGCCATCAACTCAATATTGCAATTTTTGTATGCATCTACTTTGAAAATAACAAGTCTGTTCACAGCAGAACTGTGAATGAAACAGAGGAAAGTTCTAGATATTTTTATTTTCTCCTTTTAAGAGTTCACTCCAGGTGGGGAGAGTACATGTGCAACTTCTTTTGTAGTCAGCAAGTGGTTTAATTATACTTTGGCAGCTATTGGAGAAAGCATGACAAAGGTGTCATTGGGTGTAACCAGAAGGCAGTACAAATGAACTTGGCAGAGCAGCTGAAATTTAGCTTTTAGCTCTTTTATCATGAGGAGTGAAAACTTAAGCTTTTCCAACTGTCAATTAAAAAAAATATGGCTGGTGTTTGACAACGTCTCTATTAGAACAAGAACACATTTACAAAAATGCTTCAAAGAAAATGAGGCTTGGAGGGGATTCAACTGTCGGGAAAGGAAGAAGTCAGGAACTAGGAGTAGGAAATGGAGACAACAATTTTCAGACAGATTTCTCTGCTTTCCAGCATCCTTTTTTTTTTTTCTTCTCTTTTATTTAAAGACTTTTACCATTCACTGGTTTGAGACAAAAATTTGGGTCTTATTGCAAGTATCAATTGCAAGTCTAAGTTGGCTTAGACTGCTGAGCTCCTAACTGGGATAAGAATCCTTCTAATCCATTTTATCAGGTCCTGTCAGCAGCAGGCACAGATTCTACAGAAGTGGCTAGAAAAGAGCATGCAACCAGAGGCCCAAGATAGTGTACAAGGAGTTCAGGAAGAACTGGATCAGGTGCGTAAATAGCAAACAAATTGAAGTTACTTAGGTGATTATCACTATGCTATGCACTTAGCCTTAAGGCTAATGGTAGTTACTAAAATGCCAAGAGAAGGAAAACTTGTAATCAGAAGTGGGCTGATGAACAGACCAGACTGCTGTGTAGATGCATCTTCCTGTTTGTTCAGAAATGTAACTCTAACTCCAATAGACCTTTCTAAGGCTATTTCCAAGCTACATAGCAGGCTTTAATAGATTTGGTCTCAAAATTTTTTTCTGTGATTTCTCAGGACAGTGTAGCTACACTGCAGTGACTGCACCTGCATTGCTCTCAGTCCCCAAGTTCATACAGGTGTGAGTGGGTATTGTACTGTTACCTCTAAAGCTAACCAGTACTTGGCTGTTCCCCAGTGACACAATCCTGTCACTTAATGGTTCTTAAGTGGGATAATATAAAGGCTGCTAGAGCTTATTCACTCTTCCTCTGTCAAAAAGACTAAATGCTCTCTTGCTGTGCAAAAAGCTTATGCAATTGTCTTCACTTTCAGTTGCAGGTGAGGATCAACACTCTCAGCAAAGCACAAGTAAAAGAGAGACATCATGTGCAGAATCTGGTTGCCCGCCTGCATGACATCCGGATTGCTCTGGATATATAATGCATCTGAACCAATTTTCCAGCTCAGGGGTAGGACTTTTTGCCCCTTTCATAGCAGGGGAGGATGGAAGAGATGTATACACTCTCTCAGTCTATGTATGGCATTTTTATTTTATAAATTAAATATTCTTGCTTGTTTTATTTTCTTACTACAGCTGGTTAAAAACCAAACAAAACAAGCTAAATACACCTCATGCTGCACTCACAATACCTAGCTTAGGTTACCCTGACATTTCAGAAAGATAAGCAACACTGATAAGACTCTTTATTTCAAAACGTTTGCAGTTAAATGAGTTCATGTCAGTAAGTCATACGCTTTGACATACAAAAATACCGTGCTACTGATACAGTTGAATTAAATGGATTCTCCATGCAGGAGAAATTCACAGCATTATCAGTACCCTCTAGGAACTTTGCTTTGCTTTCACTTTCAGGGTGCATTGCTGACCTCTGCATAACAAGCAATGTTGGTTAATCAGCTAGCTCTGCACAGTGTTAAGACCATCACAAAAACAGTCACTTGCACACTGAATCCTCTCCTCCTCAAGATTTCTAAAAAGCAAACATCAGGTAACCCATCTGTTACTAGGCTAACAGTAACCTTCAGATACTGTGGATGGTGATGCTGAGTAGGAAGAAATTAAAGCTTAAAGTTGCTTTGGCTGTGTCTGGATGCCATAGGCCCCAGTGGAAAAGAGGGAAAAGATTCAGGTTTTTTTTCTCTCATCCACTGGAACGAATTTGCTTTCTACTGTTAACATGCCAGTGAAGTTTAGTCAAAAGGCTAGTCATAGCTTTATCTTCTTGGGGGTGATGTTTGCCTTAGTCTTTTCTCATTCTCACTGATTTTAAAAAGTGCACATTTCTATAACCTGTATATGGCAATATACTGCTGCAGGAGTAAACTTGCTAATGCCAAGAAGTTTAACAAGATAGGTGGCTGAGAGCCACTTCAAGCTTTCAACTCCTCCCTGTGTAAAGTGAGGAAACATTGACTCTCAGAGCCAAATGAATTTTCTCTTGCTTGTCACCCAAACAGCCACCATCATCTGAGTCATGGCTGGGCTACATCACTTAGAGGCAGTTTATCATCCCTTCTTTCCTGATGACAAGCTAAGTGTACAGGACTTGGCAAATGGGACATCTGTACAACAAAATTATATTCTATTTTCTGCAGTACATACAAAGAAGGTAAGTTTTTTTCTTTAGGAAATCAGAGCTGGTCAAAGCCTACCATCTCCTTGAAGTAGCAGAAAAGTAGCTCAAAGAAGTAATATGAGAAATCTTTCAGAGAGCAGAAAGGCAGGTTTCATAAGCATGTCCACTCCAAGCAGCTCTGGACAGCAAAATCAGTTCTAAATGGTTGAGTGCCTGGACGTGAAACAGTTTATTCTCTAAAAACAATTGATACATTGCTTTAAAACTCAATTTCTCTTCTTCACTTTGGCACCAATTTCTGTTAGTGCCATATAGTGCCACATTCAGCAGCTCCAAAGTTGATTTAAAGTAGATTTTAACTCTTCTTGACATGAAGTTACAAAGAGGCTCTAAGGTTTTGTTGTAGGATGAAGCTTCAGCATAGAGCTTTCAGCCCCCAGCACATTCCTAGTGTTAAGTATGAGGGCAGAGGTCAGAGCTGGTGTGATGCAATTGTTGCCAGTCCATTATAGGATGGCCAGGTTGGCACCTAGGAGGCAACTTGGAATTGGTTCAAAGATCTGTAGTATTTTTATACACAGTCAGTGCATAGGGCATTTCACTCTGTGCAATAAAAATTGGTCCTGAAGTAACTGAAAGTGTTCTGCAGAGGAGTTAATTCTTCAAGAATTTAGTGGCAAAGCAACAATGAAGACAGATACATAGTAAAAACATATTTTGGCTACCATTTCATGGCCTCACACAAGAAAACATCCTCTATGTCTTCTAACCCCTTAATCCAAGAGGTGAAGTAACTGTTTCTCATACAAATAAAATCTTTAAGGCCTGGAATAGCAAATTAAAACAATGGATTAGAATAGGACACACAGCTTTCCTTGTTTTTTTGTTTTTGTTTTTGTTTTTTTTTTTTTAAAGAAAATCCCAAAGATGACCAGCTTCATCATATGGAATGTAGACACAGTGTTTTCAGGTTTAAAATACAGTGCAAAGTCAATTTTTAAAGGGACAATGTCAGGTCAAAGAATTAAAGTTGTCCAACAGTAGAAAACCTGGATGAGTGTAATTTACTGTACTAATGCTGTTATACATTTTGCTTAATTTGGACTGTGAAGCCATACTAGCCAATTATATTGTTTGGTGCTCTATGCATTCACAGGCTGCCTTTTATATAAGAACTTCAGCAGAGTGTCTTAAAATAAAATAAATATGAGAACACATTCTTCACTCAAGGTCTGAAAAACAGATATTGCAGATAAGGTACAAGGTCTGACTCAGCTTGTCAATGTCCCTTTAAATACAGTTAATCTCTACCTCCACCCTTCCCCATTGCACTGGCACAGCCTAGGAAGGCTCAAAAGGGACTTACAGGCTCTAAGAACATAATTATCCTGTGGCACATTGAGGGGAGGACATGAAAGACTAGAGGCACAGGGTGGGACAGAAACCTCCACCATCAACATCTTTAAAGGCAGCTGTACCTGATACATATATGGTCATTCAATTCTCTTTCTGCATTCAGCACCTTGTAAATGTAGACCAAATACTCTCAAGTTTAACATAACAATGACATCCTCTTTATTCCTCACCCAGGTCCTGCTGAGTGATACATAATTGTTAAGTAAGTGGAACACTCAGTGGTGTGATAAGAGTCCCTTTCTATAGAAAACCTTGCTCAAGGGAGTTTCTATAGAGAACCCAGTGCTTCTCCAAAGCGGATTTTCTGTCCAGCTTTGAGGTGGAATTTGAAGTCCTTGGGTGCCTCAAAGATTAGTACAATCGTAGAGCCTAAGTTAAATTCCCCTAAATGTTCCCCTTTCCTCATGGGGATTCCCTCCTTGTTGTTGTTGGATATGAAGCTGAAGTCATTGTAGGAACCTTTCGAGTAACAGGGACTGTTGGTGTGCAAGTCCTGTACAGAGAAGGAAGAAGCTGTTACTTGAGAATTTCAGTACTCTGTATTCATTAGCACAGCTGTAGACTGTGGGCATCTAGGCATTTTCAATGCAGGAACTTACAATTAAAAAGTGCGATAGGAATATTAAAAAAAAGTCTGTACTGGAGAGGACTCCCTTTAAATCAGTCTTAGAACATCAGTATTGTGAAATACCTTAATTTCAGGGTAATAAGATTTTGTAATTTTGTTATACTGTACCAACCTCAACCATCAAACCCAGAAAGCTGCCTACTACCATCTTGCTCACCTGGTCAAAGTAGATGCGGATAGAGCCCACATTTGTTGCTCCTACAGCTGTTAAAGAGAAGAAGCCATGTTTCCAGTCACCTGTAAGGACAACCCGTTCATTATGGCAGAACAGTTCCTTGATCCAGCGAGCAACTCCAGGATTCACAGACATCAGAGAGCCTGCAACAGTGAGAAAATAATCAGGTTAAGTTGTCTGGTTTGTAACAGAATTGTAACACTACCTAAATGGTATTTTCAGTATGACTGTAGCTGATCCAGTAAACAATTCAGTCACTTATTTGTGGGAAGAGAGGCAAATGCTAGGCAGAGCAAATGAAAGACAAGGCTGTAGTATAAACAAGGGGTCATAGAAAGATGTCATCTTTAGTCTTCTGTCCACAAAGATCACCACTCTTGGGCAGGGCTCGTGTTACTTTGCATTTTTCCTAGCAGAATCTCAGGGAAACTAAAGACCATGCACATCCTTCACTGTAAGGCTTGAATGCAATCTGGAACACCATCTACAGTTCTCTCTGTTAAAGAGCAAAGGGTTTCAATTTTCATACCTGGAAATGGTTCTTTGTACCCCCCTGCCTCCCTCAGCTTTTGCTTATTCCCATCTACAGCTTCACCTTGACTCCACTTCCAGACAGTGAAAGCCTGCCATTAAAGTAGGGAGCAAAATCTGGGGTGGGAGTCCCTTTCAAAATACCTGCCATTGTTGAAGCCTGTTCTAGTATCAGTCATACCTACTCCTCTATCCCCAAACTGAGGTGGCAGGGACTCATTTCCACTTCCTCTACCAAAGACGTAACCAACCAACTTCACACTGGTGTCATCTACAAATTCACAAATGACGACAAGTACTGTTCATTGGTATCTGATAGGCAGAGCTAGTCCCTAGTCTGAGCTGGAACTGAAAAAGAAGCCTTCTAATAAGCACATAAGATCCATCTAACACAAGGCTACAGGCTACTCAAAGGAAGCTAAAGTAACTTTTTACAGCTTAGGAATAGGTTTCACTGGTTAACTATCTAGTGCATGACAGCAGCCCCTTCCAGTTCTCTTTGGTAAATGGGTAAAAGTGGTTACTGAGACTGTGGCTGAAAACCAAGTAGCTATCTAGCTAGAGCAGACCAGGAAATACTAATACTGTGAATCGGTTAAAAAAACTTTATGACAGAATAACCTCAAAAATTTAAATCCCTACATAGTCCTTGAAGTAATTTAGTAAGGTATATTTACTACCCACATTTTTAGCTGTAAAATGCATCTGCTTTGCTGCACTGAATCTGATAGTAGCATTTCACTAATACTCCTTTGTTTCAATCAAGGCCTAGCTTCAGCCTGGAACTTGACAAACGTCTCAAACTTTGTGGCAGGTCATTGCCTGTGTCTCTCTCTCATGGTGTTTGAAACCAAATCCAGGTTTTTGCGAAATACCAAGTAGTAAAACATTTTTGTTATCTGCTGAACTAGAGTATGATGATCTGCAAAGAGGAGGACAAACACATCTGATCCCAGCTCCAGTAGTGTAACTGTTTAATTGCATCTTCTTTGCCAAGCACAGGAAGAGATCGTATTTTAGGCTACTGTTTGATCTGATCTGCAGAACTCGATATTTCAGGTGCAAACCGAACAAATCGTTTTTGGGAACAAGTCAGGTCAGCTTGCATCAACAGTTATTTCAAAGATCTAAACCAGCTTGAATACGATATTACTGTTTTCACCATTTATATGTGATTTGTTCTGGTAAACTATACTACTATAAAATTCATTACCATTTGTGACAAATCACTTTTCTACCGTTATCCATCATGCGACTGTACAACTGCTCCACTGGCGTGTCTCGTTCAGCAGTGGCCCATACCAGTGCTTCCCTCCATAGCTGCTCTGCATTCGTTTTCTAGGGACGGAAACCTACCTGGGAAATGACGACGGTGTGACACCCTCCAGTCAGTGGGTGAGTGGAAGCAGTGATAATCCCCCGGTGCAAGGTAGATTACACAATGATAGAGCTCATTGCCCTCCTTTGTGACTAGTTGTTGCTGAAAAGAGTTACCAGGTGGGGCTGCAAAGAAACCATGGAAAGAAAGGGGTTAAAGATATTCTTCATGCAGTCATCCACCACAACCAAGCAGTCTCCATTAGAACCAGTGGTAACAGCAGAGAACTAAATGCAGTCCACTTGTATTGTTGAGACTACAAAAAAAATACACTTTGTCCAGGAATCCAATATTTCAAAGCGTTCTTTTCCCTTTACAACAAAATTAGACCCTGTATTGTTTTCATAATTTTGGAAATTCCTTAATTTTGGAGTTTGCCCTTCCCTAAACAGAAGAGCAGAAACTGAAATCCAGTGAAACAGAGTTTTTATTAAAGCTACCCTTTCAAGAACAGAATTTTTCTCAGAGCGACCCTTTTAAGAACAGAATCTGTGAAGAGGCCCTATTTTTATAAAATGCAGTAGTTGCATTTGTGCTCATGTTGAAAATAACCCCACTATTTGCAGAACTTGGTCTCTCCACTTCCCTCACCAGTTTAGCAAAATGTGTTACTTTCATCAAAACTGAAGACCTTGGACACGGTGCTCCACGTGCAGCAGAGCAGTAACAGCATAAGTCATTAGAAGTACAGCGCTTGAGCATAAATCTTGTTAGAGTAGCTTACACCAATTTTTGCTAACCTGGTGCTTGGGCACATTTCAGTCTGACAGCAGGAGTGCTACAGCCTCATTATAGTGGCAGATCTTGGAGTCAAGTAGGAACCAAGCAATTAAATTCAGATAATCAGATTGAGCCAGACAAGAGACTATAATGCACTGGTGAGAAAGAGAACTAGAACAATGACATGTTTATCCCCAAATAAAACAAAACAAAAATCAGACCCGCTTTTGTTCCTGACAATGTGAGAAAGAGAGGAAAAAAAAAAGTAATCTCTTTTCTCATGATCTCTGAGAACACTAAAAGGGCAGAGCAGAATAAATGCAGAACTGATGCAGAACTTACCCTGGCTAAAATGCAGTTCCTCTGTGGAGATGCGAGGTCCCAAGAAAGATTCCAGAGAATAAGTAACCCCTTTTACTTGCTCTACTTCACAGTTTTTTACCTGTCCAAAATTAAGGATCTTTCCATCAGAGGGACTAATCTACAGTGAAGAAAAAAAAAAATTAAACACATTAGGAATTCATTCATTCATTCCTCACAAAGCAGACATGTTCCTTTGGGGGGTGGGGGAAGCTGGTAGCAGAGTGTAAAGCCTTCATTTCCTTTTACTCACCACACTGTGCAAACAGCAGACTGGCCGTGCTTGTGGTTTCAGCTTCCTGCGGAAGAATTCGCTCAGGTTTCTGTAGTGATGCAGATCTTCAACAGCTGCCTCCTTCATGTTCACTCCAAACGTCCAGATGTACAGGCTGTAAACAGGCTTCCGGAGCCATGTAGGCAGCTCCACCTGGTTCAGGCGACCCCAGGCTCGTGAGAGCAGTCGAGTTGGTACCGATTTGTACAGAGCAACCTAAAGAAAGATGGATTGCACCGTGTCATTCAGTTCTTCCCACCAATGGCTTTCTCTTGCTTCTCCCCATAAAACAGAAAGGATCAAACTGTTCCTGCTAACCAATCCCTGGAACTCGGTGGGTTACACCACACACAAAGTAGCCTTTAAGTCAGCAAAAAATTAACACTGCACTGCACTTAGTCCTCACTCCCTCCATTCTGTTGAGAGCAGGTGAGGGACAGGATGAAACTTACTATAACCTTATACTGAAGCCAGCATCTCCACACCCCTGCAGGCTGAAGCTCCACATTCAAGTTACTGGAAACTGCCCAACATGAGGCTTACAGAAAAAAAAAAAGACACATTTCACATGTTCCAGTAGAATACTCATCGCAAGGGTTTAACGTTACCAATATATTCATTTTTGTGAATAACCAAATGAAAATTGACTGAAAAATAATTTCTCAGTGTTTGATGATGTGCTTCTCAGATGCATCTACTAATGAGGGTGTTTTCCACATCCCAGCATTGTACTGCTCTAATGATACTGGTACAGTCAAAGAAACATACCCACGTGGATGCAGCTACACCAGTATAAACTTATGCCAGCCTTACTCCTCTCGCAACAGCGGGAGTTGCTAATTGCAAGGGTGTAAAGTGCCTTTATTCCTGTAGAAATGTACCTTTGGACTTACACCAAGGCATAAGTTTTAGTAGCAAGAAAAACAAACGAAACAATGTTGGCAAGAGGTATATGCTGTTGATGTAACTGGAAGGATGACTCTGTCTTCCTGTTGGCAATTCCAGCAGGTAACTCTTCTGGGATTTGTGGTACTTCATATCAGCCAAAAAGCTCACGTGACCATGATGTCATCGGGGGAGCGTGGACCAAGGGAACTGAATTCTCTAAAATGAGTTTTGCCAAAGAAATAGTGATCTGCTGCATCTGGTACAATTTTTTTGAACAGTACAGCTCAGCTACATTTAGCTCCCGATGAAAAGTTGTGGGTTTTTTCTTTTTCTTAGCAAGAGTCATCATTTATTCTCAATATTAATCATATCCTTCATAATTAAGTCTTGGAAAACAGCCATAAACACAAACAGAAGCACACACTGGCTGAGAGCCTGTCCATCGTATCAAATACAGCAAATTAAGATTTCACTCACAAATCGCCATCCTGCATCACATTAAAACACAGTGATATTTCAGAAAGAAAACACCAACCTAATCTTACTTCAGATAAAAACTTCTAAATGAACAGTACCTTAGGTTATATAAGCTGAAGAACTGAATAAAAAAATGTTTTGCCATTTTATTTGACATGCCTTATACAGTGTTAATTTCTAAAATAAATTTTGCTCAGTTTTCCACAAACACGGAGAATATGCAGATACAACTGTAAAAATCACAAAAATTGTCAGAAAAGGTATTTCCTAGTAGCCCCTTCTCTTCAAAAGAGCCTGGTTTTCAAGTTGATAGGATCAAACAGAACAGCTGTTCAATAAAATAGGCTTAAGAATGGCAATTTTGTTCCAGTTTTCAATCAAAATATTTGTGGTGGGTTGCATTCTGAAATTGCATGACTTGCGGGGAGAATAACCTTGTGCAAGACATCTCACACCCTGCTCTCAACAGTGTCAGAGCAGAGATTTGTGTAGCATTTGGACAGGCTGGATTACAAATGCTCAAAAAACTTGAGGAACAAACCCTCTCTGTGCAAAAATGACAAAGCAAGAGACCATTTCAGTGTGGCCAGGAAAGGAAACTTGAGAAGAGGTGTGGTCTGCCTTATCCTAGCGCTGATATTTCAGGTGACTGAATCAATTCAAAAGTTTCTGTTGATTTTCCTGGGTAGACCCCTGACTGTTGTCTGTGAAGCAATCAGTCGACACAGCTATGAACAGTAAAAACTAAAGGTAAACATGAACTGCATCTCTCTGCTTTCCTACTAGTGATCATCAGCCTGTCCTATATTAAGGATCTCTCCAGCCAGCTGCTGCCAGCTCCCTTTGGTATAAAACAGCTAACATACATGAAGCGCAAGAGAGACCTGCTCACACTTACCCTGCTCATAGGCCTCCATCCCACTCTGGTCAAGGGTTTAAGAGCACCGAAAGGCAGAAGATAATAGAGAATAGTCAGAGGCCAAGAACGGAGTTTCAGAGCAGGCCTAGACATACAGCTTAGCTGGCCCAACCTTCGCCTCAGGGCCAGCTGGGGAAATTGCAACCTGAAAGATTACATACACAACATAAGAGGGTCAGCCATCTCAGCCTCAGAACCACCAGCGTCTGATAGCTGGGGATCATTTATTCCTGCTAATCTTTACTTAAAACATTGATTCTGCAAGTCTTTACTCCTTTATTTTGATCAGTTCTTCCCCTTCCCAAAATAGGAGACCAGTTATCTTAAAAAAAAGAAAAAAAAAAGAAAAAAAAAAAAAAGACAAATCCTCTGTCCAAAAAACCAGCATTCACTCTCACAGGTCACATTTTATGAATGACACCCTCAAAAATTAAAGGCAAGATCACCTGCAGGTGACATTTGAAAAACAAGACACAGCTGGTTCATCCAACTAACAACATCACATGATAGTTTACAGTGGAAATAACAAAGAGCAAAGGTTCTTCTTCCAAATCTCAGAAGATTATATCCCCAGAAAATGTTTCTTGTGACTGCTCCAGCTGTTGGATAGCCAAAGTGGACAGCAGACAATATTCTGAAAGCTAGGAATCTGTGATGCTGGGACTTTAATAAGAACTCTATGGAGGGACACTTTTAAGGAAAGAACAGATACTCCAATGAAAGAAATCCTTGAAACCTAATAAACTCAGGTCCCTCCGAGGGTTCACGTGTTGAAGGCATCTTGACTAGATTGTGCCTCAAGTTGTACTTTGTATCACAAAAGACGATGGCGCCAAATTTACACAGACCTGTTGGTCATTCACGAACTTTGAGAAACAAGCAGTTACTTGAGAAACAACAGGAGTGGCACTCCTGAGTTAATACAATTTACAAATAACTGATTCCAAAAGACATCTTTCCAGGTCTTAAAACTGTCACTGGGCATCCTGGTTCTAAACAGAGAGCACGTGAACAAAGCCAATATTGCTAGTGCTGCAAGATAATCTAGTCTCCATAGCCCAATAACCAACTCCTCTGCCTCAACCAACTGCATCTATGGTTTATTGTCACGTGGACGTCCTGACTGAGGGGAAACTCACTTTGCACAAATGGCCATGGGGAGAAGCTGAACTTGCAACTCTCAGAGGGAAAAGCTGCTCAGTTTATTAGCAGAGGACATCGTGGGCCTTAGTTCAGACCCTTGCAGGAGGTCTGGAGGAGAGATCCTTCAGGTCCCCATTTATTCTTTGGCTTCTACGCATGAAGAAACCACTGGCATTTCCAAGGTCACATTATCAAATGAAAGTCTGCCTACCTGAGGGCAAAATATTCAAGTCTTCTGGGCACTGACTTAAATCCTGGCTAAAAGATTGTTCTCCACACACCGCTGAAGCCAATATGCCTGCAAGCAGGATACAGCTATGTGCGCGCACAAACTGGAAGTGGTACGCTCTGTCTGCTGTGAACAGCTCTCCCACTGGATTATATGATATGAAGGATGAACTATAAAATACTGTCTATGTCTTTCCAAGACGGAAAGAAGCTGGGAAATTAAAAGGAAATTTTCTTGCCAACACATTCTTTTCAAAACTTGGATCAGGATTAAAATATCATGCAGGCAGGTACAACTGTCACCACTTTGGGATGCAAGATGGTGCCTTTGGCTCAGATTCTTTTCTGCAGCGAACACAGCTGCTCTTCCCCCAAGAACTAATAAATAAAAACCAGAGAATGATCTGTGCATCACAATGCAAGGGGAAAAAAACAAACCCAAAAAACCCCCTGAGGAGATGAAGTGCTGTCTCAGCAGAGGTAAAGCCGGCTTTCTTCCCAGCAGGAGGTGGGACGGCCTCAACATGGGAATAAGGGACACTTCACATTCTTCCTCCCATCCTTACCACCCACCAGCCTGCGGTCTGCTTGAGAGCTGGCGGGGCTGGGAGCCGGGTTGCCGGCATGGAGCGCGGAGGTCCTGCTCCCCCTCCCACTGCTCTCCCCCTCTTCACTGCAGTCGCTCATGGACCAATCCCGGCAGAGCTGCATCCTGGCAGCTCCCGCCAGAGCCCTCGGGCTTCTCACTGCCTTGGCCTGGTTTCAGAGCGGTCCCTCGCTAATTTTTCCATTCTCCTAGTGATGGAGAGGAGAAAGGAAAGGAATGAAAGCCTCCTCATTCCCCTTGTCATATAACAGCACACCCTTCTCTGCCAATTCAATGCATAAGGAGCTTTATAGTAATTAGGCCAAACAAAAGCTTTGCAGATGGCTGTCGCTCCTTCTGCCCAGAAGCCCGCCCATCCTCCCTCCCTCGTTTCTCCCTTCAGTCACCATTCCTGCAAAGCAGAAAATACTGAACAGTACCTGAAACGAGTTCTCCTATTTGGTGTACCACCGGCAGAGCCAGCCGGGCCTGGACTCTCCAGTTGTGGGTGCTGGTCCCCGGCACAGCTGCTGCTGCCGCCGTTCCCTGAACGCAGCCTCCGGACATGAATTTTAACTTTGCGGAGGTTGTAGCAAGAGGGTGGAGGGTTAGATAAAGCTTTATAGCATCTCACCATTTCCCTGTGTGCAGATCTGGTCCCTGCAGGGTGTTTGACTGACACATCGTCAGGGTGATGGTTGGTTGCAAGGCTCAGTCTTTTTTCCTCTACCTCTCTTTCCTTTGCTTGCTCCGGCACAGGAGAGAGGACACGGCGTCACAGTTCCTAATTCCCCCGCTGGTTTCTCTCTGGATTCCCCCTCTGTTTCCCACTTGAATCTCTGCTACGAGGGTTGCAGCTATTGCAAACAAACAGGCATTGTGTCATATTTCAACATCCCACTACAAAGCCGACTCCGCACAAGATAAAAACGAGCTGTCCGTATAAGCAGTCCTTGCTTCCCGCTAGTCAGGGTGGCCATTGAAACCCAACTCTCCAAAAAACACCTTTCAGTCTCAGGCTGCTGGGCAGCGATGCACTACAGTCAGATGAGCAGCCAGCTGGCCTTGCACAGCTAACCCCAGAGCCAGTCTGAATCCGAGGCTGGGAGGAGGAGTGGGGCGGAGAAGAGGAGGAGATAATTCCCAGCTTCAATTCTGCAGTGCAGCAGCTGCCCCTAAAAGAGTTCTGGACTGCTGCGCACCAAAAATCCTTTCCTCCTCTTAACGTCCAGCTTGGAAAGAAGAAAACAGAAAGGAAAGGAGCATCTTTCTATTTTGCAACCCTTGCCAGACACCAACATCCATCTCCTGAAGTCTCTTGCTGTCTCAGACACTCACATAGGGAGCAGGTAAAGAACATTCTTCTACAAATACCCAGATACATAATGAAATAAGCCAGTTTTAGGGCCAGCTTCAGAATCGGGTATAAAAGAAGTGTTAACGTGTCTTACTATGTGACTCTCAGTACTGTCACAGTTTTAATGTCCAGTAGAACTAAAATACAAAACATGAGTAAAGGAAGCTGTTTTGGTTTGGTTTTGTTTCTTAAAGACAAAAGGCTGCAGTATTTCCATCTAAGCATTCTGAATACACACAGAGAGAAATTTCCCTCTTTGATCCTGCAGACCATATCTCAAACAGATTTTCTGCATCTCCTGTGACTGGTTTTGGATTGTTAAGGGAGCTTGAAACCGGACCCCTGGTTCAGAAAGTGGAAGTCAGCTAGCTACACCTCACCTCAAGACTAAACCAAATACCCACAGCAATTTAGGGGCTAACTCTCTAGTGGTTAGCCATTTCACTTACGTTTTCTCTTAAAGTCTGGGTTTAAAAAACAAAACAAAACAAATTCCTTGTTTCCAAAGCTCTCTAAACACCATGAAAGCTGTATGCCTACAGAGTAGATCAAATAGAGCACTAGTGCTCTGATGTGAAGGGTTGTACTGTATTAGAGACAGAAGTGGGAGGGCCAGCAGGAAAAGCTAGAATTAACTAGCTAATGGCATCCCACTCAGGCCTCGAAAGGAAAATATTCTAGAAAGAATTGTGTATTTTGATTGGCCTTCAAATATTACAGATATTCCCTAGAAACACCTCTGGAGTCCCTACATTAGAGTATTTTCTTCAGGAAGAAAACTGCTATGTGGTATTCTGTACCTCAGGGAGTTCCAAGACCTGTGTGCATGTTGTTGTTTAAGCTGAATTTTAACAACTGCATATAAAAAAAAAAAAATCCAGTTTATTGAAAGAAGATAAATTTAAGATCAACTGAAAGCACTCAAAACATACTCCTTCCTCCCTATGCCAACTTTTTTTGTTTTCCTAGTTAAAATATCATTCAGTCTTTCTCTGGCTGGCACAAGAAACTCCTACACAACAAAAATGAAGCCATCTGTATAGTAAAATTATGAAAGCAGTTACCCCAAATCCCATCAAAATTCAACGAAAAGCAACGAGGAGCACAGGGGAGCTATTTCTCCTAATTTGCCTGGAACATTAGAAATTACCACCATTAAATACTAAATTTTAAATAGAAACAAGCTAAATTGACAACATCCTTTCAAAAGGCACTTCATCGGACCAAGACAAAAATCATTTTCACACTGAATACGCGTCTTCACAAAACTGTGGAGTTTGTTCATTCATTTGGGGCTGGTGGAGCCAGGCAGGAGGAGGCAGAGCGCCCCGACCCGCAGCCTGCCCTTTGCGCGGGCGGCTCACAGCACCCGGCCGTGCCCAGCTCCCCAGGACAGGCTGGCACCCTGCTCCCCTGCCTAATCTCCTTTGAAGACCTTCACCTATGCATGAGATTGCAGAAAGACAACAGAGTAAACAGAAGTCTTAGCTACATTGTCTTCAGTACTCTTCCCTTAAGGGTAAGGGAGATAAAACCCACACAGTCTTTCAGTAGAAATTCAATCTTATCCCCCAAAACATTTTCAAGAAATTATTATATTCTAGACTGAACAAGCCTGATTCTCTGAAAGCATGGAACAAGTTAAATAGCTCACCTGCTGCCTAGAAACAAATGGACATTGAAATGTTCTACAGCCCAATGCAGTGGGAACTACCACCCTTTAGTTCAAAACAAAAAATACGGTGCAAGAGAGATTCCTCTCCAGGAAGGGAGAAATATCAGTGTTAAAAGCTTTTGTCCTCCACTTCTTCAAAAAACTGAGTTCAGGTGAGTAAGACGACCTAAGTTTCTCTTAAGTTCTGTTCTACTGACCTCATTACATTCACCAAGATGCAAATACCCGAGTCCTGCTTAAACGCTGACATATATGGCAGGTTGCCGTCCCTGTTGCGGCTGCCCCAGAAGCAATGTGCCGTTCCTACAGTGTAAGAAGGCTGAAATGAAAAATCCACGCTGAGTTTACCTACTTTCCATGGGGAAAGAAACAAGAACTGGTGATCAACCGGCTCATGACAGAGGAACTCATATAATGGCGTCTCAATAGCTGGACTTCTTGGGATGCAGGTGGTGCCACAAAGCCTGCGTTATCAGCTTAGACAAGAATCTTATTGTTGGTTTGCAGGAGGTTGGACATCAGTACCAGACTCCCCCACCTGTCTGAACTCGCCCAGAATCCATGTTAGGTAAATAAAAGAAGCAGTTACCAGCAGGTGTAAATCCCTAGAGAATTATTATCTAATAGAGAACTGCTAATCTGCCAGCTATGCAACACCATTCTGCTCTGTCAGCTCAAATAAGCGTCAAATCCAGTGACCCCATTTAATTACTTATCATTACTACCTCAAGCCCTTCCCTCAAGTTTTAAAAAATAATACAGCAAGGCGTTTGCAAGAAAGGCTAATATACAACTGAACTTCAAACCTGCAGTCTCAATTTTAAATCACAAGCATGAATCATTAGGCTTGGAATGCGCTCGTAGAGTGCTCAAGGCCCTCTGGTCACATTTTCTACATTTGGTAACTGAACTACTGTTTAAAAAATGCACTGTACGCATCCAAATGCTGTATTCTACGCAAGTGCCAGCAAAAATAAGGTCTTGCAATCAGGGGAGAGGTACTCAGTGACCATTTATTAAAGGTTCCATTCCTTTCCCAGCAGCATCTGTTTAATTTCAGACACGTAATCCCTGCTCCCACCCAACCTTCTCCGGAGCCAGCCCAGCAAGAGAAACACTGGATGCTCCACACCCAGTCAGGAGCTCCTGAACTCCGTGAGCACGACAAACCCTCAAGCTCTCATGCTCCTGGGGAAACCCGAGTGCAGAGTTAGCATCTGCCAAGGCCCCATGACTTGCGAGTAGCACGTTCGGTTCCAGCTCTGCCGGGGAAGTTTGCCAACTATACCGCTTTCTGCGGGTTATTGGTGCTGGCTAATGAAACGTACCACACTCTGCTTTATCCATCCTTAATTTCTAAAATTCTTTACTTTTCATATGAAGAAGCCTTTCTACATATTTTTTCTTAATTTATTAAGAAAAAAACTTTTGATCGCTTTCCCCTAATTTTACGTTGCTCTTTTAGTTGCATTCTATAAAGAGTTTCATTTACTTTTGCAAAGTGACATGAAACTTGATGACACCTACAATACACGGTATTATTTTAACATTTTGTAGTAATATTTTCCATTTCACGTCTTAAACACCCCCACCCCCCCGCATTTTAGCTTAAGATACCTGTAAAGCAAACTCCCTGTTGTGTAAGGGACCTCTGGTGGAAGCATTAACCCCGTTACGTCTTCCCAACAAAGCAGGACCCGGCAGAAGCTGAACAAAGCCCCCGGCGGCTCCTCCGGCCCCACCTGCCCTCCCCCGCCGCGGAGGAAGTTAAGAGCGGGACTCTGAACTCCGATAACGCTGCTCCGAGAGACTGATGTTGTTTGCATCTGTTAAGAGACGGCTCGTGAGAGAGCCGAGACTTTGGAACGTCTCTCCTGAAACTTCCAGCCAGCCAGAGGCTCAGCGCTGACGCCCAACCCTTGGCCACCGGACCTCGCCCGTCCACAAGCCCTTACCCGATGCCGGCCAGCAGAGCGAGGTCTCCTCCTTCCCGGCTTTTTCGCTTTCCCTCGCTGAAACGCGATGCCGACCCGCCCTTTTAAAACAGTTTTCAGACGCGTGAACAAAGCGCCGGGTCGCGCACACCCCACCACCGCGCACGGCCGGGCCCGGCTCTCCCGCCCCCCCGCGGGGCTCCGTGGCCGGGCCGGCG